TCATTCCCCCTTCCTGTGCTCCACTCAGCCAAAACAGTTGAAAAGGTAGACTTCCCTATGTAACAGTGTTCACTTTTAAGTCACAGAAATGTGGGCAGGATGTTGATTATAATAAGAGATGGATGAATCAACAGTGACTGCTTAGTAAAAAGGAGAATGCTTGATTGGCAGCATACCCTCTGTGATCAGAATTTAAGAGATGATTGAGTGACTCGTGAGAGATTTGGGTGAAGAAAGGGACTGAACTTGTGTGCTGAGCATGATTTAAAGACAAACCTTAAAGGTTCAGGCTAGAGTTATCTTTCTTACCCTAATCTGGGATCCAGTACACAGCCTTGTCTGGCCTGGGACTCACACTAGTCCTTCTGCTTTAGCCTATGGAAGGCTTATATATAGGCTTATGCCTAAAAGGCTTATAGGTCTAGGTTCTCTCCTCCTTCTGAACAACCCCCACCCTCCACATGCCTTATTAGTTCCTGGCTCCTCTTGAGCTGTTGGTCTCAAAAAATCCTCTGGGCTTCAGTTTCTCAAGTATTTGTGACTATAGGCATGTTTCCATATTTAGTGTTTCTTCTTGAATGATATTTTTTATTGTGTCTATCACTAGTGATACATTGTAAATTGATATAAGAAATTAAGGACAAATTTTTAAGTCCAGACTAACTAAAGTAAAAATTTCTGATACTTGGATAAATTTGTTTGAAATACGAGGTTGGATTCATCCTTAAACTTTTGAACAGCTATGCCCTTCTGTCAGGTTGCTCCCCTGGAATCCACCTGTTATTTTTTTTTTTTTTTCAGAAAATAACTGATACAAGCAACTCTGTCTCTTAGTTTTCACAATTGTGGTAGAGAATAGTAAGTACCACCACACTTTATTAGTCTTGCTTTGGTTCTATGCAGATTTGATTTTACCTTATTAATTAATGATACTTTGAGCTTTCAATTCTTTTTTTTTTTTTTTTTCAGTTTTTCGAGACAGGGTTTCTCTGTGTAGCTTTGCGCCTTTCCTGGAACTCGCTTTGTAGACCAGGCTGGCCTCGAATTCTTTTTTTAAAGATTTATTTATTTATTATGTATACAGTGTTCTGCCTGCACGTATGCCTATAGGCCAGAAGATGGCACCAGATCTCATTACAGATGGTTGTGAGCCACCATGTGGTTGCTGGGAATTGAACTCAGGTCCTCTGGAAGAACAGCCAGTGAGTGCTCTTAACCTCTGAGCCATTTCTCCAGCCCCGAGCCTTCAATTTTTAAACTCCTAGCAGCTTTCTGAAAGAACATTAATAGGGAGCATGTTGATGCTGGTTGTCAATTACATGTTAGGGTTGTCTTTTGTCTCATCAATCATTTTATTCTTGTTTGTTAGTTGTTCTTAAGTTGTAGTTTAATATTTTTTTTCCTATTAGAGCATTTCTAAAAGTTCAAAAATAGAGGAACATTTAAAAAGGAAGCAAACTATCTTAGACCCTATGATTAAATGACAAATGCTATTTGTATGCATTTCTCCTGAGTCACTCCTTTAGGATTCTCATTCCTCCATACACAGTTCTAGGAAGCTGTAATTTGCAGTATGTGTCTGGTACATTGTAGAACAAAATAGACACATTCTTTAGATTCAAAAGGTTGAAAGTTTAATGTCCTTAAAAAGTTATCTTTACCAGATCCAGGAATGGTGCAAAGCTACACAAAGAAACCCTGTCTCGAAAAAAAAAAAAGAGAGAAAAAAAAGTTATCTTTAAAAAACAATTTGCTGGAATACTGAATCAGGAGAGGTTGTGGCTGTCTACATAGAGAAACCTGTTCCTGCCCCCTGTACGTTGCCCCCACCCCCAACAAAAAGGAGAGAAAAGAAGAAGAAAGAAACCATCTTAAAGGCACATATACTAAAGAATAGATAGCAGTTCTTAATTTCAGTGTATTTTCCTGTTGGTAGAAGTGGTGGTGGAGCCTGTTTTCTACGGTTTTAGATTTTGCATCCCTGGTTTTAATATGGAAAAAATGGCTAATCCAGATTTACAAACTAGGAATGTTGGATTCTTTATAAATACACATGCATTTCTTTCTTTTTTTAAACTTCAAATTTGAAATAAAATTACAGACTCATAGAAAGACATTCTAGAAACACATCACATCACATGTAGTTCCTCTGAATTTTCCAGTCAGTTATGTAAAACTGGGAGTGTACAGCTAATTCCAGCTTGGCTGCCCCATATTGTATGGTAGAAAACAGAAAACACTGTTTCATTATCCTCATTTAATCATCAAAGTCAGGTATTTTTCTCAAAAAAATGAGAACAACCCACCTGGTGGTTTTGGCCACTTGAATTTAAAAAATAACATTTTTTATATCAATTCAGATAGTAACAGATTTTTCTAACAAAGGTTGTCTACTTCTATTTTTTTTTTTTTTTGCTATGTCAGCATCCTTGTCCTATTTTTTTTTTTTTTTTTTTTTTTTGGTTTTTCGAGACAGGGTTTCTCTGTGTAGCTTTGCGCCTTTCCTGGGACTCACTTGGTAGCCCAGGCTGGCCTCGAACTCACAGAGATCCGCCTGGCTCTGCCTCCCGAGTGCTGGGATTAAAGGCGTGCGCCACCATCGCCCGGCCCTATTTTCTTAGTGAAATTAAGTTTATATATACAGGGCTTGTTACATAGAGAAAGAGATAGATAGTAATTCTCCAGCTTGTTCTTCTTTTTAAAGTCTAAATAAAGAATAAATCTCTTTCTGAGTCAACTTACACAAATTTACTAAATTGCTATATCTATTTTCCTTTTTTTTTTTTTAAGGCAAGGATTTCACACTGTAGCCCTAGATGGCCTATAGCTGGCTATGTAGCATAGACTCGCTGCATTCTTGTAGCTCTTGTATCTTCCTGTCTGCACTTGCGTGCTGGGATGATGGGCATTCCTAGCTTTATTGCTGTATCTTAACTGTTAATGGTTTCCCTGTTTGTGGATGCTTTGTTGGCGGTATTTTGCTCTTTGATATGATGGTTACTGAGCATAGCATAATGCTTGTTATGTAGAAGAGCTTCTTACTTAGGCAGTGTATTGAATAAAAAACAAAGGCTTTTATTTATTTCTTTATCCATTATCTGTCTATTGGTCTGTCTGTCTTTGTCTGGCTGTCTTTATTTATTTTTAAAGATTTCATATGTGCCCCTAAATGCCAAAAGAGGGTGTTGGATCTTCTAGAACTGGAGTCAGGGATGTTTAAGAGCCATCATGTGGGTACTGTGAACTGAAACTAGGTTACTTGCTTTTAATTTTGTTTTTTCTTTTCATGTTAGTCAACTATATCTTTTTATGGCTTCTCACTTTGGGTGAATGGGGCTTAAGTGGGGGAAGAAAAACCCACCTATTTATTTTTCCAACACTTCAGTAGTTTACCAAATAAGTCTCCAGTCACCTTTGAGTGTTATTTTGGTTTTTGGAGACATGGTTTCTCTGTGTAGCCCTGGCTGTCTTGGAACTTAGAGACCCAAGTGCTGGGATTTAAAGGCCTCTGCACCACCACACCACAGGGTGTTATTTTATTATAGTATAAGTTAGATATGTCAGTGTTTCTTATTATTTATAAAATGGTTCTTCCCTGCCATGGATACTACCTGTACCAGTGTTTCTTACTATTTATAAGATGGTGGCATGTGCCTTTAATACGAGCACTTAGGAGGCAGAGGCAGGCGGATCCCTGAGTTCAAGGCCAGCCCGTTCTACAAGATTTCCAGGACAGTCAGCTAGGGCTATTACAGAGAGACCTTGTCTCAAAAAAAACCAAAATAAAGCAGGGGGTGGGGTGGGGTGGGGTGGGGTGGTGGTGGGGGTAAATCTCATCCATATTGATTTGTAGTGTGATTTCTGTTAAAAATTAAAATTTATTTATTTATTTCTATTTCTTTGTATTTAGTTTCTTTGCTATTTTTTTCTGTTCTTCTAAAGTAAGAAGTTACAGCTTCATAGAAGACAGTTGAGTATTTGCTTGGGCTAACCATCACATTTAGCCCTCAGAAATGCCAATATTCAGTGTAACCTTTAAAATTGCTTTGTTCAGTTGTGTGTTGTTTCTAAACCATTGTGCTGTGGGATTGCATTGTAGATTAGTTTACAGCTTTACCATTTCAACTGCAAATAGTGATTTCAACTTACCCTACAGCATGAAATTGTTAACTGTGGTTTTCAACTCCCCATAACTTAAAACGAATTCACATTTCACAAAGCATGATTGGGTCAGAAAGGTCTATTTGTTCTTTGATTTCTTACAGGTTTTTTGTAGCACTTACTATAGGAATATTTTATAAATACATTTATTTGCTCAGCAGTTTTCACTTGCATAGTATTACATATTTGTAAACAGTTATGGCATACTTGTTTAGTTAAACTATATTTTCTCTGGCAAGAATTTGATATTAATATGTAACTATAGGTGATTAAATCTCATTTTTATCAATCCCTTTTGTAAATTGTGATACATTTTGTCATATCATAATTGTTATGTTCCTTATTAGCTTTTAAGTGAAAGATACATAGTTCAGTGTGCATAGTTTTGAACTTATTATTATTATTATTATTATTATTATTAAAGAGAATGAATATGTTGGCATGCACATGTCATGGTGTGTGCTTAGAAATCCAAGGAGAACTCTATGGAGTTGATTCTCTCCGTGTGAACTCTGGTCATTGAGCTCAGGTCAGTTGGCTTAGGCAGCCAGTGCTTTCACCCACTGAGCTATTTCATTGGCCTCAGGGTTATTTTAAAGCTGAAGGTCTTCTTTATTTTATATTTTCCTAAAATGTGTTATAAACCGTGTTTAGATCAGTATTAAATGTCTTCACTGGAAGAAATGGGAATTCTTTTACATTCTATTGCTTCTGAAACCTAAAATGCCAGTTCTGTTTTCTTCATATGCAGAAATTTTCTGAAATCTATCCTATGATTACAGCAAAAGTAAGTATTTTTCCTATAGTAAATGGTATGTTTTAAATTTTTTCTCATGCAGGTCTTCAGAGTTCTACATTTTAGCTCTCAGTGCTGAATTTCCTTCTCCCTTAAATTATTATAAACTTTTGCTGCTGTCTAAGAAGCGTGAAGATGTCTCGCAGTCCTGATGCAAAGGAAGACCCTGTGGAATGCCCTCTTTGCATGGAGCCCTTGGAGATAGACGATATTAACTTTTTCCCTTGCACCTGTGGCTACCAGATATGCCGATTTTGTTGGCATCGAATTCGCACTGATGAGAATGGACTTTGTCCTGCGTGTAGAAAGGTAAGTGCTTCCAAACAACTTTATTTTGCTGTATGGGTTTTTACTGTCCAGTATTAACTCTGTAGTTCTTTTCCCATGAGTGTGAGTGATTGGTTGAAAACAAGCCTTGTGTGATCTTGAAGGCCTAATGAAGTAGAAAGCACTGGCCTGAGAGTCAGGGTCAGATGTTGCCTTTTTTGTGTTAACTAGCTGTATTACATCTGTAAAGTCATACACTCTCTCTGAAGGAAATAATAGATACAGTCTTGGTGATTTCTTGTTAGAAGATTGGTAAAGAAATAATTAAGTTTGGATATGATAATTTGGAACTAGAACATGTTCTGTATTAATGTGTGGGATGATTCATGTTAGTTTTCTAGTACTAAATAGAAAAGTACTAAATAGGAAAGGCATTCACCAGAGTTAGGAAGCAGAGAGGGGCATTCTGACAATCAGTTGACCTTTGACCTTTTCATTCAGTTGTGCACCCCGGTCTATGGAATGATGCTAGCTATATTAGGGTGGGTCTTCTCTCCTTGGTTAGTCCTCTCTGTAAACACCCTTGAGGTGTGTGTGTGTCTCCAGATGATTTTAAATCCAGTCAGATTGACAATGAGTATTAATCATCACATCTTCCCAGGGATCTTTATACTCAGTTTTAAGTAACTGCCATCCATTGATTATGTTATTAGCAGTACTGATAACCGAATCTTTTTTTTTTGGTTTTTTGAGACAGGGTTTCTCTGTGTAGCTTTGCACCTTTCCTGAAACTCACTTGGTAGCCCAGGCTGGCCTCGAACTCACAGAGATCTGCCTGGCTCCGCCTCCCGAGTACTGGGATTAAAGGCGTGCACCACCACCGCCTGGCAATAACCGAATCTTTAGCACTTATTTGTACAGGACATATTTTCATCACTTTTAATCCTCTTCTAGAGAACTTCTGGTTAAATGTGATTCCCATTTTACAGATGAGAAGGCTGGGGCAGAATGGTCATATGGTTTTGGAGCAGGTTGCTGGAATTCAAAGCCTGGCACTCTGATTCCACATTCTTGGTCCACTAGTGGCCCTGATATTAGCTGTAGGAATGAAAATACTGTAATCCTGAGAAGGAAAAGACAAAGACACACAACAGAGAGATTGCTAGTATTTTTGGAGGGCACAATGATACTTGTTTTACAAGTATTACTTAATCTTTACATCAGATTTTAGGATTGTTTGTACTTTATACATGAGGATACAGAGGCTTAGAGACTGGTTGTTTAAGGGCACATGCCCAGATAATGTTAGAACTGAATTTGAACTCTTGAGCCAGAGTCTGAATATTTATGCTCATCTTTCTCCCTATTAGACTAGGAATGTACTTAAAACAAACAATCAGGAAGGATATAGGCTAAGGACGTGGCTCAGTAGGTCAGGTACTTACTGTGCACTCCTGAGATCTAGAGTTGGATGCTGAGCATCCAGGTAAAAGCCAGGCATGTTTCTATGACCCCAGCACCTGAGGGATAGGGAGCTTGCTGGCCTGCTAGCTTAGCCATCGGTGAGCTCCAGATTCAGTGAGAAAGTCTGTCTCAAATAAATGAGGTAGAGGCCTCTACATGTACACACACACCTGCACATACACACTAACAAGTATATCACCTAATTAATATTTTAGTACATAGTAGGATTTCCTTAAATATTTGTTGATTATAACATATAAAATCCATATTTTGTTAATAGAACTGTCGTCTTTGCTTTTTTTATATTTAACATAATTTCTTTATTGATTCTTTGGGAATTTCACATCATGCATCCCAATTCTGCCCACCCCCCAGTCCCTCCATCTCCTCCCCTTCCCACTGCAGAATCCCCAAAACAAAAATTAAAATCAAATCAAACAGAAACAAAGTAAGCAATAAACAAACAAAAAGAAAAAGAAGAGCAACAACAAAAACCTTCTTTGTTCCTCCTCCTTTGCCGTCTGTCTCTCCAACACCTTTTTATTCGTCCTGGAGGCATTGGGGGCCTCGATGTCTCACATAGTACACCCTTTTGTCCTATCAGCTTTACTTGCAAATGTTCATAGCAATGAGTCACTGGTCTGTTTCAAAGCCTCATTTCTGGTACACTGTCATCACTGGGTCCTCACCGAAACTCCTCTGGGATATCCCACAGCCACCCTGTTTTAGAGATCCTGTGGTTATTATTCCACAGGACAGTTCCTTCATGAGCTCCAGCAGGTGTCACCATTGCCCCAGGTGGAAGTGTGCAGGCTATTCAGATCAGCACAGCTGCAGTGGCAGCATGGCCCTTGGACACTAACATGGCCTCAGTTCTTGGGCATCTATGTGGTCTTCGATGGTAACGGGAACTTTGGACATCAACTCAGACCTTGACTGCAATAGGACCAAACCCTGACATGGCCCTCAGCTATAGTCTTGACCCCATGTCACCGTGGTATTGGGTAGTAGCACAGGCTACTCAGATCTGCATGGCCCTGCCTGCAAGCATTCCTCTTGGCCACCAACATGGACTCAGGTGGCTGACCTTACCCTGAGATCCACACGGACTTTGGTGGCAATATGGGCCATGGACTTCAACACAAACCCTGGGTGCAGTAGGACCGTGGACCCAGACATGGTGCTCGGTAGCAACCTAGGTCTGAAAGTCACCATGGCCCCAGTTGGCTGCACAGGCCACCTAGACTGGCTTGGCCCTTAGACACTTACACGGCCCCAGGTGGTGGCCCAGATTCCAGGCCATGTACAGCAACACAAACCCTGGCTGTTATAGCACTACAGACCCAGACATGGCCCTCGGCAGTAGTCTGGACTCAGATCTTCATTGCCTTTTACACAGCAGCTTAGAAGCATAATCTTTCTCATAACAGTGTGCAACGTGTAATGGGAATACCAAGATTGAGTGATTGATTTTGTTGTTTTGACATTTGTATTAAAAGTGATCTCTGCTAAGCTTTAAAAAATAATTCTTAGCACTTTTAACTTTTATTAAATAAAAATATTTTAAAGCAGTTGAAACAGTCAGAAGAGGGGAAACTATCAGTCTTACCTGCTGCTCAGAATTTGACATTTATCATTTATGCAGTTTTTCTATTTAATGCTAACTTCATCTTGTTTATTATGTTTATAGCCATATCCAGAAGACCCAGCAGTTTATAAACCACTTTCCCAGGAAGAATTGCAAAGGATAAAGAATGAGAAAAAGCAGAAACAAAATGAGAGAAAACAGAAAATTTCAGAAAACCGAAAACATTTGGCTAGTGTACGTGTGGTACAAAAAAACCTCGTCTTTGTTGTAGGTCTGTCACAGCGCCTAGCAGACCCAGAAGTAAGTCCTCTTCTGATTTCATTGTCAGCACGACAGTCTTTTCTGTTTGCCTGTCCTTTTGAAAATAATTGACCCCGATAAACTGGAAGTTTCCTCTGAAAATAATAAGCCTTGGGAGAAAATATGAGTATTAATAATTTTTAGCAGTGGTTAAGAACCAGTGGCCAATTGTGATCTTAGGCATGCCTTAATCTTTCTGGGCTTCAGTTTATATTGTAAAACTGAGGGCTTGAACTGAAAGTCCCTTTAGTGCTGATAGTGTGAAAATAATGACTCTGTCATCTTCAAGGCTAACACGAGTTTTGAGTACTGTTTTTTTTTTTTGTTTGTTTTTTCCTTTCCCTCCTCTGTAGCTGTGTGGACCAAGTAATTGGAGAGTTACTTGAACCTTCTAAGTAATCTTAATGAGCTGCCTAAGTAGTACTGTGTGCCACACTGTATGTGTAGAGGTCAGAGGAGTTTGTAGAACTCAGTTCTCTCCTTCCACTGTGTGGGTTCTGGGCTCTAACTCAGGTCATCAGTCCCAACAGTGAGACCAGCTGAACCATTTCTGAGCCATTTTGATACTCCCCAAGTAGTAACTCTTGTTCATTCAGAACTCTTGTAGTGTATCATCATTCCTTTACTTTGTCAATCTAAGCCAGTGTTAAAGAAGGAAAATTTGACTAAGTGAAATAAAAGACCAAAGTCTTTGTTTGTAGTTCAGTTCCCTAGTTGATGACTCTTAACCTTTCTCTTTTCTCCTCCTTCAGTTAGTCTTACTGAAGTTTCTTTGAGCTCATACTTTCTTGCGGGCTTTGGCTATGCATTTGCTAATTTTTAATTTCCACTATATCATGAAGTGCTGACAAGATTGTTGGGAAGGAAAACTGAAGCTGAGTATCAGCTAGAATGTTTGCTTCAGTAGAAAAGTGCTGACTTTGGGTAGTCTTCCAAAAAAAGTTCTTGAAAACATAAGGGGATGTTCCTCATGGTGCTAGAGATTAGCTCTGTAGTAGAACACTCACTTGTCTGTTTCTGGCATCTTTTTACTACCTGGGGCAAATACCTGGTGGGTGGGGGAAAAAATTTAAAACAAGATTGGTTTTGGTTCATAGTTTCTGTCTGAGGCTTCAGTTAGCTGGCTCCATTGCTGTGAGCCTAAGGTGAGAGAGATCATCCTGCTGGTAACTGAATGTGAGAGAGGATGCTGATCAGCACAGACAAAATAAGAGTCTGGGAACAAGACACCTTTCAAAGGCACACCTCAGTGACCCACTTCATCTGCATGGGCCCCACTTTCCGTACTTTCTACTACCTCCCAGTAATCTAGTCAACTATGACTCCATTAGCAAACTGATCATTGATTAGGCCAAAGCTTTCATATCTACCAGCTACAAGACCGAGCCTTCAGTATATGATCCTTTTTGAGGGGATAACTTCATATCTAACTATAATTGAACCTGCTGGCTCTTTTTGTAAAGACTAGAAAAATAAATATTCACCAATTGAATTTATATTAAGGCTTTAAAATTCCTCCAGATCAATAGATGAGAATCTCAGGGAGCTATTACCTGGAAGAACCTATCATGAGCATTAAAAATTCAAGATCAAGAATTACTAGGATCTGGGCCAGTAATATGGCTCAATGATCTGAGTTCAGTCCCTGGATCTCATTTAATGGTAGAAGAAGAGCATCAACTCTGCAAAGCTATCCCCTGACCTCCACATGTACCATGGTACATGTCCACTCCCTCGTCCTGCCCTCTACAGGCACCACACACAAAGAATTACTAGGAATATAGGTTCAGGGACCTTGGCAGTAGTGCTTCTATCTTATCAGGAGACCTGCTTCTTTGCAAAGGGCGTGGCCAAGAATTCATACCTGTGATCTGAACATTCAGCAAGAGGACAATGAGTTTGTGACCATCCTGTCTACTTAATGAGTGTGGGGCCATCCTGAGCAGTGAGGCCCTGTCACAAGAAACAAAGAAAACACTCAAACAAAAAAGGACTTGAGTAAGAAATACTAAGGAAAGAGTTCCTTTTAGACCCACAACTTAACTTGAGCAGTCACTCCATCTTGTTTGTAAGCTTCCATTGTTTTTGCTTTTCTTAGGCAGACATAATCCCACCTCTCCTGTGACCATGCCTCTTGAATATGACTACAACTTTGCCCTAATCTGTCTTTGTCCCTTTCAGTTTTGCCTTTAAAACAATGTTTTATTCTGTGTGTGTGTGTGTGTGTGTGTGTGTGTGTGTGTGTGTGTGTGTGTGTGTACACTCATAATGGGGTGGTCTGCCTAGTTGGTTCTCTTCTTTGACCTTTATGTGGGTTCCAGGGACAGAGTTCGGGTTGTCAGATAAGCACAGCAAGAATTTTGACCTGCTGAGCCACTGCTCGGACTCACTTGTGTCTTTTTGTTCCTTTTCCCTAATCATGCTGATGACTTTTGCCTTTCTGAAATTGCTACCTCAGTAACTTGCTGGGACTTTCATCTTGATCGGAGAGCTTTTATATATCTTTAGTTTAGCCATCTCTAGTATTAGTAGCAATGTGAAGTCACATCTAGAAGTGGATTGATTATCAAGTGTATTCTTTTATTATTCAGTAGAAAAAAATCTCAGAAGCTGTGGTAATTTGATGATGATTAAGAGGTAATTATATGTATATGTATATGTATATCTATATATCTATATCTATCTTAAAGTCCTAAAAATGTAGTTTTAAAATAGCTTTTGAATGTCAGAAAATTTTATGTCACGATCAGTTATCAAGTGTATTCTTTTATTAGTCATTATGTCACAATCAGTTATCAAGTGTATTCTTTTATTAGTCAATAGAAAAAAATTTCAGAAGCTGTGGTAATTTGATGATTAAGAGATAATTATATCTTAAAAGTCCTAAGATTTCAAGTTTGTGGAGATAATCATTCTTATTAAAATTTGAATTTTGTGAATACATACTATGTTTGATACTGAACATAAGTTAGGTAGCAAGCCAGACATTAACTGTACTCTCAGCAAGTGTATAGGTCAGAGAAGACAGAATTCAAGTGCTCGCACATTCCTGAGAAGTAGGGGGCTGGAGAGATAGTTCAGCAATTAAGAGCACTTATTGCTCTTGCAGAGGACCCCAAGTTTGGTTCCGAGCACCTACAGGTTGCTCACAATCATGTTTAATTCCAGTTCCAGGGAATCTGACATCCTCTTCTGGCCTCTGAAGGCACATTGGATGCACATAGGCAAAACACACATACACTTTAAAAAAAAAAGCCTCCCCAAGAAAAGGATGATTAAGTTCCACTTTGAGAATTAATAATATTAGCTAGGCAGCAAATAAGATCAGGTAGTGTCCTAGATATGTGGTAGCTCCAGAGAACATTTCATTTGAGGAGTTAAATAGCTGTTAAAGCACAAACATTTCATTTTATAAATGAGAAACTGAGGCAAAAGAAAGTTGAGTGACTTGTTTAGTATGATAGAGCTTCTCATATTCTGGTGTATTCTGTGCTGATGATTGCCTTGTTAATCCATTCATTATCCACTAAGCAGCCTCTGATTGCCACATTTTTGTTTTTCTTAGCAGTGTCCATGAATGCTTGACCATGTTCCAAAAAGAATACTTCTGCCTCTGTTTTATCAGTTGTTTAGGCAAAATCTAGAGTGTTCGTGTTAATATGGAATGTTTAAATTCTTTGAATTCCCTCTGCTGTAACAGCCTTTTCATATCAACCATTGGTCATTTGCTAATACGTAGAGGCTTACCAGTGTTATTGATGTACACATTCAAGTTTTAGTTTTCCTTTTGAGACAGTCTGTTGCCCACACTGGCCTTGAACTCCTGAAAACCCCTCTGCCTCAGGCGTCTGTGTTGTGAGCTACCACACTTAGATTTTTATGTAATTCTTTTTACTTAATGTTAACACAATTCTTTTTTTTTTTTTTTTTTTTTTTTTCATTTAAAACCTGTTGAGTACCTACACCATGCCGGGCACTATGTAAGACACTGAGCATACACAATACACAAAATAGCACCTGCTTATTTACAGAGGTAACAGTCCTCTGTGAGGAGCACTGTGTTGCTTTAGTGGCACACGGGGATAGCAGCAGACAATTGCAGGGAAGGTATGCTCATCTTTGCTATCCTTGGGCTAAAGTGTTTGCTGCGTAGGGAATGTCCAAGGGTTTCTGAATAAGAAAGACCTCTTTCTGCAATCTGATTTCTTTGTCTGGAAGGTTAGCGTTCAGTGGTGCGATGTGGTTGGGGCAGGTTGAGTGGCACTTAATCATGAGGTTTGCCAACAATGTTGAGGAGTTGCATTTGATCCTAAAGGCAGTGAAAAGCTGTTGAATGTTCTCAAGAATAGAATGACATGCTAGGTCTGTGCTCTGGAAATACCATTTTGGCTATCATATGGGCATGCCAATGTAATTTTATACCTATCTTGTTTTGTCATGAAGGTGTTATGCCCAGATGTTTACCAGAAACTATTTCCATAAGTCAGTGGTCTTCAACTCTTCAACTCTAAAAGTGGTTCATAAAAAACTAACATTGTATAAAATGCCTTCTTTTTGTTGTTGTTGTTAGATCCCATTCGTTTGCACTTTACTATGCATTCTTGTTTGGTATAGAGTACTTGAATCAGAATGTTTTGGGGAAGGACCTGTATTGATAACTTGCCAAAGCCCCCAAATTACTTCCATTTTAGTAATTCAACCAGAATCCAGAACCACTGCTGCTCTTGGTTGAAATATTACCTGTTTTTTTCTTCCATTTCTTTTCTTTTTTAAAATTTTTTTAGTTTTTTGAGACAGGGTTTCTCCGTGTAGTCCTGGATGTCCTGTATCTTGCTTTGTAGACCAGGCAAGCCTCAAACTCACAGAGATCTGCCTGTCTCTGCTTCCTAAGTGCTGGGATTAAAGGCGTGCACCACCACTGCCTGTCTACCTATCTTTTTCTTAATGACTTAATTTTATTGGACCAGTCAACAGCATTTGACACAGGCACTACTGCTCTCCAAATAATGGTCCCCCGAGTTTTTACTCCTATAAGCCTGTACTCTACCCCATAGCCAAACAGATTGTATCCTTCATTTTCTTACAGTAGTCTTCTGCTTTTCTTAATCAGAGTAAAACTCAAATCCTCATAAGGGCCTGCCTACTACATGACCTTATGGCAAACGACCTGTCTGGCCACGTATGCCACTGTTTCTCTGTTGAATGAAAATGACACAGGCTTCCTTGGGCTAGTGTTCTCCCCTGTGCCCTAAATGCTCTTGTGTCAGGTGGGATTGTTGCACAAATCCTAAATGGTCTTATAATAAAAACCCAGAGTCAGATCTCAGGGTGAAAGCTGAAAGATCAGAAACAACAAGCCACAGCTACCACCTCTTACCTACCTCATCAACTCCTTAGCCTGACAGATCCTCTGCAAGAGCACCAATTCCTGTCTCCTCCCGCCTTATATTCCTCTCTCTGCCCAGCGTTTTTCTGTGTAGCCCTGCCTGTCCTGGAACTCTCTCTGTAGACCAGCCTAGCCTTGAACTCAGAGATCTACCTCCCTCTGCCTCCCCAAGTGCTGCTACCACCACACCTGGCATGTACAACACCTTCAAAAGACAAGGATGAAGAAATCCTTGAGACAAGAAGTGCACATATGAACAGGACACTTAGATAAAAAACTAAAAGTATGAACAAAATCCCAAAAAGACATTCCACTTTCCTTGAAAAGACTTACGAACAGGAATAATTCAGTGTTTTAATTAATCATTAATACAATAAAAAATGTATTCTTGATGGTATCTCCCCCTGTATATTTCAGTGTGTGTGTGTGTGTGTGTGTGTGTGTGTGTGTGTGTGTGTGTGTGTGTGTGTATAAAAAATCTCAAGGAAAACAGTGATGAAAAGACCTTTCTGCATGTAAGTGCTTGGTCACAGCTACTCTAGAGCCTATCTCCTTGTGTGGCCTTTTAAGCCAGAAGCATTATTATTACTTTGGAGTTTACTTTGTCAATTCTTAGGTCTGTCTTAGACCTATTGGATGATACGAATTTCTTTTTTAACTTGTCTCTGAAATGATTTGCATTAATATTCAAATTCTTGGAGTAGTGTTTTTACACTACAAAATGTAGCAGTTAGAGATGTAGATTGTTACAGGTATATGTATTCGCAACTTAAGTTTCCATGAAATGATGTGATTTCTGCAAAACAACTAGTAAATTTCAAAGTATGTGTAGTCTTTCCTTAATTACATATTATCTATAAATTCAATTTATGTCAAAACTGAGAAAATACTTTGTTTCTGTATAATATGAAGTTTCTAACTTCCCTTAACTATAGACAGGCCTCATAGCTACACGCATGTCTTATAGGACATTGAGAAGGTACCAAGGACCACTGTTGGGCAGGGCTAGTTTGAGCCATGCAAGAATCATTCCCTGGCTTCCAACCTCTGAACTTTAAAGTTCCCTCCCTCCCCAATTAAAACTTCCCCTGATCTCTATGGTGGCCCCTTCAGTGCTTCCTTCATTGAGAACTGCTGCTATAAAATCACTTAGGAGAAGAGCTGCTGCTGAAGAACAGCCATGCGCTGCCAGCCATGGGAAACAGGTGTTTTAGCTATGAGCCTGTTAGCTGAATTGATATTCTTCCAGCTGGAATATTGAATGCAGTTTCAAATTTTACTGGCCAGAAAACCCCTTTTCAAACTATTTTCTTCTCCATCCTTAACCCCTGAAACAATCTGGGGACGAGGTTTCATTTCATTAGCTACCATTATTGTTCTATAAGTCAAGGGGTCTGGGTAGGTAAAAAAGTGGAACCTTTTAGTCAATTAAAACTGCCTGTGTGTAATCTTATAAACACCACCCAAAATAGTGTGATTAGTGTGTATTGTATTGAAAACGGTTAAGAATTAATGGCATAACATAGACTGTTCATTTGAGAAAGAGGTTGCTGTCTGTAAAGTTCTAGGAAAAGACCAAAATTTAATGTTGAGGGAGTTCCAAGTCATGGATAGGTTTTGTATCATTTAATATTCTGATCACATTAGTCAAGGTTATGGAAGTTTGTAAGAAAATCTAAAAGAGCTCTGTAGTAATCACCAAGTACCAGAGGTAAGAGAGAGGCGAGGGCAGGAAAACCCCAAGAAGTGACTGAGGCACTAGAGGAAGGATGTCAGTTGGCTTTCTAGATAGAACTTAGCACTAACTTAGCAGCAAAGATTGTGAGGAGGGAGTAATCCATGAGATCCTTGCAAAATAGTGAATTTACTGACATAGGAAATTATACACATAGTGATAGATCATAAAGCATAGAGGATTGAGGGGATGCTATTAGCATATTTGGAATTTATAAGCAGGGCCTTAGTGTAATATACAATAGATTTATGAGACATAAATGTCATTGCTTATGTCTGTTCTTTGCCTCTCTGTTCCTGTATATAATTTTGATCATTGTTTTGATCATTACTGCCTCATAAAATCATTTATTGGTGACAGTACAGTTTCTGTGAAGGTAAGGTATTGATGAAGACATTAGAACATAGTAATGCCAAAATTAAATCTCAGTTCCTATTTAGTGTTTTTTTTTTTTTTTTAAAAAAAAGAATAGCTCTTAGTTAGGCTCTTAAAATATCCTGTGAGTTAGCTACATAAATGCACTTAGGAGGTAGTCACATTAATTAGAAACTTAAAAAATTACCAGTGTGCTTTTCACTTACAAGGGATGGTAAATGTCCCCATTATAAGGATAAAGATGATTAAAGCGGGGACAGTTTATGCCTTATTTCTTCTTCTTTTATAGGTTTTAAAACGACCAGAGTATTTTGGGAAGTTTGGTAAAATACATAAAGTTGTCATCAATAATAGCACATCATATGCAGGCTCACAGGTAACTCATTATAGGGATTTTTGCGTTTCCTCCCTATGGTCTGGGCTTGACCTGGGCTGTCAGAAGGAAAATTTGCTTTCTGCAATCAGAAAGCTTGAGGGTCAAAGGAGTTATACAGTATAGTGACCTCTGTTGGTGGGCTGGGGAGTTTGTATGTTCATTTGATCCCTCAGGACGTAGAGTGAATGGCTTGATGGAATAAGAGGGAAATAGAAAACAAAAGTTTATTGAAGGGGTTAAGGGGTGGGGGTGGTTACCATGCAACCTGATAACTAGATAATTATTTATAGTCAGTATTAATTTTAGATATTGAAAACTTAATACAGCAGCTTTGTTAAACTGGTATTAGTTAATAACATGTACAGATCATGTTTATTTTTGAGAGTATTTACTTTGATACAGTGTCTTTAAATCTGACCTTTTAAAATTTCACTTCTAAACCTTTTTTTAACTTTGATGAGCCTGTCGAGTTACTTTTGAAAAATAGGGGGTGGGGGGAGGAAAGATACTATTTTATTTATCTGTGTTATAATCCACTTTAGCTAGATAAAGTTCAAGTATGATTACTTTTAAATGAACTAATAGAAGGAACAACATTATATCAAAAACTGTTTTAATTATTACCATTGTTATTAACAATGTCAGTAGTAAAATAAAAACTTTTAGAGTTCTTAGGCAGGTTGCAAAAGAATTTTATTTTTCAGCATTAATTTGAAACTAACAACAGTGGAATGGGATGTGCTTTGCTTTAGGGTCCGAGTGCCAGTGCTTATGTAACCTATATCCGGTCAGAAGATGCTCTCAGAGCAATACAGTGTGTCAACAATGTGGTGGTAGATGGCAGGACACTGAAGGTAATATGTTTCTCTTGATTATTTTCAGTCTTTTAAGAGGAAGCGTTAAGATTAAAAAGTAGAGGAGTACCTGGCATTTAAAAGGTAACTTTGAGGGCATTTAATTTAAAGGTTGTCTTTTTGGTTTCCATACCAACCTGTTATACACAAATTATTTAGTACTAAGTAGGGCTCTATTTTATTTATTGAGTGGGAATGCACATTATCTAGAGGATAATACTTTAACATTTTAACTCATGTTTTTCTTATTTTATGAAAATAGAACTGTTCTCATCAGAATTGGGTAATAGTTATGATTTGTTTATGTTTGGGCAAATAATCCCAACCAATGTAAATGGAAGAAGGATGGCATCCTTAGAAAAAGGAATTTCCTTTCTTCTGTACTGAAATACTTATATACATGAAACAGGCTTTTCTCTGCCCCTGATGCCTAGATAAGAAGATTTGAATTTGCAAACTCTGGAAACCATTCACTTGGATGTTTTCTCTATATCTTCTAAGTAAACATCTACAATAAGTCCACCAGTAATAGTTCAGCTCCCTAGTGTTCTCAGTCATGCTTTGTTCTGTCTGTGTTTCATTTTAGGTAAAGTAATAAATAAAGTAAATTAATTATGGAAATTGACATTGTGGTATCAATTCATGTTTTGAGTGTTCTTTCCCCTGTTCCACTCTTCTTCTTACAGGCGTCTTTAGGTACAACAAAATACTGCAGTTACTTCTTAAAGAATATGCAGTGCCCAAAGCCTGACTGCATGTATCTGCATGAATTGGGAGATGAGGCAGCCAGCTTCACAAAAGAGGAAATGCAGGTAGTAAACTCATGTGAATTACTAGTTTAGTACAAAAGGAATTACTTTTAAAGTTAAAATTATAAAGGCAAAAACGAAAATTTGAGTTTATGAAACCGATATTACTTTAAAGTAGCATTTCCAAAGTGTCTCTTAAAATGTCTCTTCTGTGGACATGGTTCCAATAAGAACGAGTCTGTGGTCAGCTAAGTCAGAAGACGACATTAGTAAATCAGCAGATTGATTTGTTGCAAAATGCTCCAGAGGTTTAATGTGCCAGCTTGTATTCAAACGGGAATCTGACTGACCACAGGAAACACTTCGGGAGTCCACCTAAAGGAGAACGTCAGCAATAAGAAAGCCAAGGAGTTACAGTAATTATTAGTTGGGGTTTTTTGTTGTTGCTCTTGTCTGTTTTGGTTCAACATCTACTCTTTATAGAATATTCTAGAAAATAATAATAATCTGTCCAATGATGCTGATCCCATTTTTAAGCTGTGACTCTCCTTTGAAAGTGCCCACAGAGTAGTCAGTGCCCTATAAAAGGTGACTTGAAGGCTTAATATCCTGTCTTCTTTTTTACGTTTCCTTTTCTCCTGTCTCCTTTCAATTTGTAGTATAAACATGCTTTTACAAGTAAAAATGTTGACCATACGGCATATTAAAATGAGGATTATACCAAAGCACAATGCTGCAGTTCCCTTTTGTAGATGAGGACTTCAGATTGTTGCTGTGGACTTTTGCAGGAATACTTCTCATTTAGAAGGTGGGGGGCATTCATTGCTACTTTTTATTCCAGGTCAAACTAGAAACTATATGAGCTTCTTTAAAGGCAGATTGTAAAAAGCATGAAGCTTTGTCTCTTTTGACTTGGAGTTAATACAGATTAAGTCCCATTCATTATAATAACCATGTTGGTGATTTTTGACAACATTGTCTTTGAAATTAAAAAACAGTGTTTAAAATAATGGTACTCAACAGGGCAAACAAAATACATCTTTGTTAGTTAATAACTTCAAAAAGTTTTGTTCATGAGTGATTTTTTTCTTTAAGTGAAACTTTGTTTTTTGAGTGTGTGTGCATATATAGGGCGTATATAGGTGTGTGCAGGTGCCCTCCCCTGTGCATGCACCTGTGGAAACCAGAGGTACACATAGAACATGGAAAGTCTTTCTAGATGTCTCTCCACCTTAATTTTTGAGACAGGGTCTGTTTGGTTGATCTGAGACTGGCTGACCAAGGAGTACATAGTTTCCTACTGTCTTCTCCATACTTATTCTGTTTTGTTTACACACACACACACACACACACACACACACACACACACACACACACAGCCCCGAACTCAGCTCCTTGTGTTTTTACAACAGTACTCTGCCCACTGAGTCATCTCCCCAGCTCCTGGGTTAGCCTTCTTGGATAAAATCTAGATAGAAACATTTCAAACTGCATTTTAAGTCATGTCTATATATTTAACACTCACCTGCTATTACAGTGAAAGTTTGTCTAAGGATTTCCAGGTCCAAGTTGATCTCATGTAAATCTGTTGTTCAACAATAGGAGAAAAATGCATGTGGTGAATTTTTTTTTAACTGCCTGAATGAACTGCTCCATAATCACTTATATATCAGAGTGAGCCATAATAGCTCCTGAAGTGTTGATTACAGAAAGAATTTTCTAGGTGGTTTATGCTTTAAAGATATAAAATTCACATCAAAATATATTTTTCTTATCTTAAAACACATTCATAGTATGTTCTTTTTACCTGAGTTTTAAGATTATTCTGATAGTTTCTTTGCTGAAATATTTCTCAGTATGGAAAGAACATTTGAGTAAGTTGTATCATGTCAAAATCAAAAACCATCTTTCTTTGTTACTGTATAACTCAAAATTGAGTAACCAGCTTGTGTGTCAGAGTAGGAAGCAGTATGTGTGTGCTGTACGTGATGCAGTTTGTGCTAAGTTAGATGATAACCACCCTCACTTCATATTTTGATTTTATTTTATTTTGTTGTATTTCCATTTTGCTACAGTATATACTTAAATCACAGTTTTAACGTAGTTGATACTTCCATCATTAAGTGAAAAGTTCTTTTAGTCAAGACACATATAGAGATGGTAAAAAGTACTGAGAAGTCTTTTCATTCCATTTGTTTTTGTTTACGGTTTGCTTCTACAGTGATCCTTGTCTGATTTCTCCTGTACCATTTGTGACATTGCCTTCTGATAGAAAGCTACCCCAACCAACTAGAGTAAGGCAGTGTTTCTGGGATAGGTAGTGGGTGCCAGCAAGGTTTTCTGTAAAGGCCAGCCTAGTGAAGTATTTTGGGATTTCTAGACTGTGCAGCACCTGTCACTGTGCTCCACTATCTTACTGTAAGACTTTACTCCAGTTTTGTAGCAAGGAAGCAGATAGATAGTATATAAATGAGTAGCCAGGCTGTGTCCCAGTGAGGCATTGGGACACAAGGAGAGACTGTCTGTGAACTGCTTCTTCCTGGTTTAGAGTAGTTGAAGACATTCATTTTTATTTTGTTATAGGTAGGGAGAAAGTAGAGAATAAAAACAAATTAATGGCATTTTTATCTAGTGTCAAGATAAAGAAAAAAATGTAAGAAAACTGGATTCATTGTGCTGTTGATTTCTAAATAAAAGCAGACATCTATTGATGAATTTTGTTTAATCATCAGATGTTCCGGTTTCCTTCTAATTGCTGTGACAAGTAGCATGACCAAAAGCAATTTATGGGAAGAAAGGGGTTTATTTCAGCTCACAGGTTGTAGTTGATCTTTGAGGGAAGTCTGGGCAAGAACTCATGGAGGAATGCTGCTTGCTTTGCTGCTGACCTGCTTATCTATAGCTAGTTTTCTTTTATAGCCTAGGAATGGTACTGTCCACAGTGTGCTGGGCCAGGCTCTCCTACATCAGTTAACCCTCAAAATAATTCTCCACAGACAGGCCACTGATCTGGGCAATCCCTCCATTGGCATTTCTTTCTTAGGTGATTCCAAGTTGTGTCAAGTTGACAATTAAAGCTAACTGGGGCATCAGAACACTCATTAGTGACTGCGGACTTAGTTGTGTGAGAGAAACTGCAAGGACTTTACATTTTTTATTATATTTATTTAGTCATTTATATGTGTGTGTTCACATGTGCATAAAAATGTGTGCACATGCACACATGCCACAGCCCATATGTGGAGGTCAGAGGATAGCTTGTGGGGTTGGTTCTCTCCTACCATATGTGTTTTTCAGGGATCAAACTCTAGGTTGTCAGACTTGCCAACAGGTGTTTTTACCCACTGAGCTATCTCAGTGGCCTCTTTCTGATGCACTGATATGGTGACATTGTTCTCTACATACGGTTCTGAGGGAATGCTTTGGTCTGTGGAGTATCTGTAGTGTATTTGGCTGGAAAAACTTGTTGGTCTAAAAGTTTTGTAGCATCATCCCGAGGTTTCTTTGGCTCTGTGAGAAAACTCTAATGTTCTCTTTATGGTACCTTTAATAATTAGAAAGTAGCCAAACATTTCATACCAGATGGTTTTTTGAATCCCACTGCAGTTTTAATTTCTTCTTTCATTAGGCGGGTAAACACCAAGAGTATGAACAGAAACTACTTCAAGAATTATATAAATTAAATCCCAATTTTCTTCAGCTATCTACGGGTTCAGTTGATAAGAATAAGAACAAAGTGACGCCATTGCAAAGGTATGATACGTAAGTACTGATTAAGTACTGATACTACTCTAGTGAGATGTCTTTCCCTCCTGCTTGTCATTCTTCTCATTGTGTATGTATTTTTTAGACAAAATTCATAAAAAGATCTATCATTTATGCACCATTTTCAGCTATATATAAATGTCAGGTCATAGGTTCTGAATATGTTTTTTATTTTATTTTATTTTAAAACAGGGTCTTATAAAGTAGCCTTCACTGGCCTGGAACTCACTGTGTAGACCAGGCTGGCATTGAACTTAGAGATCCTTCTGCCTCTGCCTCCTGAGTCCTGGGATTAAAGGTGTGTGCTACCAGGCATGGCTAAATTTGAATTTCTGTTGCTCACTGCTCCTTAGTAACACTTAGCTTCTTAATGCCTTCACTCTGAGCTCTTATTTACAGATGGGGACAGCCTTTCATGTTGAAAAGAAGTCACAGAGCTGGATACAACGCTCACATCTCTAATCCTAGCACTTGAGAGGCTGATTGATGCAAGAGGGTCACAAGTTTAAGATCACAGTCTGGGCTAAAGAGCAAGGTCTTGGCTTTTACCAAATAAGAACCCTGTGTTGGTAGGGAAAAAGGAAATCAAGGAGGGTTAGATTTTGAAAAGCTCTTGCCACCCACTTTAAGGTTTCTCCCTAACATAAAGGAGAAAGCATATTATAAAGAAAAAAGGTAGTCATCTGAAGGGTTATGTGTTCAGGTTATAAGTGTGCACAGCTGTTTAGTCCAGGGGGATCACTGATGTTACATCCTGTGAGGAGAGAGTGTAACATATTTAGAGTCTTAACTTGGGAACAGACAGTCTTCCTGTCTTCAACCTTTACATGGTCTGGGTGGTACATATTAAATGAGTGTTTAAACAGATTATAATTTGTAGTACAAAGTCTCATGATGATATGATGATTTTCATGCCTTAAACTGTAAGGTTAAGTTTTGCTGTAAGTTGTCAAACATTATACAGTTAAATAATAGCTATGATTTTACTGTATCCTATCTAAATGTTCTTTACGTGATATTTTAATGTCTAGCTTTAGATAGTAGAGTCTAGTAAAATAACCAGCTTTCAAATGTATCAATAAAAATTACACAGATTATTGTCAGAGTCTTTCTTCAAACAAATTCTTGGGTTTAAAATTTTAAAGCAACTGTCTATTTATTCCCTTTAATACTGAAGATTATCTAAATATTAAAGACTAGTTAAATGTGAGTATTTCTTACACATTTATACATAATGGGTATGTATATGTATATACATATATAAATAGATGCCAGCATAAAACATAAAATCACTATGTGGTAAATAGCAGGAAGTTTCTTTATGTCGAAGTTAGGAATAAAAGCTAAATCCAGCCATCTTTTGAGTTGAACAAACTGACCCCCTACTCTTTCTAGATGATGAACCATGTGCTATTGCTCATTACCTGCCACTTCTGTGGTACTTGATAAAAGAATGAGATTATTGTAGTAAACATTTCTGATATACTCAGCATTTATATACATCATTGGTCTTATTAAAAACAGTTTTTCTGCATGATTAAGTTGCTTTGAAACGATGGAATACAAGTGCTGAGAGCAGGAAACGAAGCCATCAGTTGTAATGCATAAGTTTGGGTATTTTTTAGCTTGGGGCTGTAAAATGTAGATTGAGACATTATTTGTGCAACCGCTGAAGATTATAAAAGGAATAGTACCTGGTTGGGCTATTGTGCTGTGGACACTGAGCAGGCCTAGTGGTAAGAATCACAGAGTATACATCGCACAGTGTAGGTGGTCCTGGCTTGATGTGGCTCATGTAGTCCATGTAGGAAAATGAAGATGTCAAGTTCAGACTGAAGTGAAAGGAAGATGTGAATGAAAATTCGATATGCTTATTTAATCTTAATAGTCCTGTATGGAAGATAGTGTCATTATTACTTCAGTTAAGAAAACTAAACAGAGCTAAGTGTTAACATGTAGTCCACACAAATGCACTATAGAGACCAGATTCTGACCAAAATCCCTGGCACTTTAAAGACTAGACTCACCACACTTTGCCATCATTTAAAAGGTTTAAACTATCCCAGAATTTTAAAGGAGGAATTGCTAGAAAAGAAGTTAATGCCAGTCACAATCATTTTTATTAAGTAAAATCATTTGACTGAAAATCTCTTGTACTTCATTCAGAGTTGTAACTTTGCAATAATTAATAGTGTCTAAGCTTCCTTCAACTGCAGATAGAGGGCACTAGTATACTATAGTAAAGATATGGAAAGGAAAACGTCTATAGGAATTTATCAGTTTTATTCCATGGAGAGGAAGTGTATATTGTCGTCACCACCACCATTGTTGTTATTGTCATCTTTTTGTTGTATTGTAGATCAAATCCAGGGTCTTGTGGGTGCTAGGCAAACAGTTTACCACTGACCACCATTTCTAACTCCCTTTTGAAAGAGCATGGCCATATTAGTACTGAAAATTACATGTGCTCTGATAGACAGGTGCCATCTGAATGCCTTAGTAATTGAATAGATTGGGAGGAATTATTGCATTAATCCTCTTTGGATTCCTTGGCATTACTTGGTACCTCTAAGTATCAAAAGAGGACCAGGCGATGGTGGTGGATGCCTTTAATCCTAACACTTGAGAGGCAGAGGTAGGTGAATCTCTATGAGTTAAAGGCCAGCATGGTCTTTAGAGCAAGTTTCAGGACAGCCAGGACTACACAGAGAAACCGTGTCTCGAAAAGCTATTTAAAAAAAAAAAAGTGTAGTGTAGTTTGTCAAAAATGTACAAGATACTCTCAAGCAGAACTTGCTAAATCATTCATAGGTATGAAGATACTCTGTGAATTCTGAAATTTTATGTAAAATCTTACATGTTCATTGTTTTTGTGTGGAGGCATTGCTGTGTTGCTAGCTAGAGGGCTAGAAGTGAACTTAGGAGTAGTAGAAAACAGGGATTCTTACAGTACGGACAGGAGCCACAAAAGTGGCCTGCATTTTAGGGATCTCCAGAAAGACTTTCTTCTCTTTATTGTAGACAAGTGATTTACAATCTCCATTTTCATTTTTTGCATAAAGCCCAGAGCTTTTTATTAGTAATTGAATGGGTAAAAGTCTGCCAAACTAGGATACTTAAATTAAAGTTAGTTAATTGCTAGGGGTTTGGTTTTCTCTTTTGAATTCTGTCTTTATTTCAGTCCCTGCCCCGTTCTGATTTATATGTAGTTACTGCACATGTGCATAGATAGTGGGGAGCTATTACGTCATCTGGAGATTCGTGCCCCACTTAAGTTGACTACAGTTAAAAAAGTCACTAGAGCCACTTATCTAAAGGATTTGGTTAGAAAGTTAGATGAGGATAATGGGACCCCCACTTCCAAGTAACTAGTACCAGAGACTCAGTGACAAAAGTGAGGCAGTTTATGACCTTGCTAGGTAGATCACCAGCTCAGACAAAGTGACAGGTAGGCTGATTAAGTACTCCCATTAGGTGCAAAACAGTCATTCTTATGTTCCCAATGGGGGTCCTGTTGCCCTCTTCACCATTTGCTGAGTACCCAGGGAGGCACAATCTTCATGTTGCCTAATTTTTGTTACCCACTCCCTTCAATACATATACTTAGTCATGTAGCATACTATGGCCTGTATTTTTCCATCCTGAGATTAAACTTCAGTGTGGTCTTAGAGCAGTCAACACAAACAGGTCTCCCTGAACAAAACCTTAGGTTTGAATGAAAGGTAGCTAAAAGACCTAGACAGACAGGCACTAGCTGTTTGAACAGGGAACCCAGTATCCCCTGCTTATCTAAACCCTAAGCTCTGTTAAGGCACTTTTATATTAAAAGTGCACCATTGTATTTTGTTTCTCATTGAATTAAGTCAAGAGAGGCATAGTTGAAGATAGGATGTGAGGGCCTTGGAAAATAACTCAGCGGGTAAGATACTTGTCACAAAAGCACGAAGACTGGAGTTGAAATCTCTGCACACCTGTAACCTTAGTGCTGGCAGTTAGGAAGGGGACACTTGATTACTAGTAAACAACTTTGAGTTTAATGCACAAATAAAAATGCAGATTATAAATCTTTTGTCCACAATAGAAGAGGAATGTCTGAAGATAGATAAAATGATTTCTCAACATCAGCCTAGCTTCAGATTCATTAAGACGGGCTGTTTCAAGGGAATATGGTGGGGAATAAGAAAGTAAGCCTTTCAGGTTCTTCCTCTGGCCTCCATGTGTGCACATAGGAGCACACAAAAAGGTGCATGCACCACTCATATAAAGAAATGCATGAGGCCGGGCGGTGGTGGCGCACGCCTTTAATCCCAGCACTCGAGAGGCAGGCCTGGTTTACAGCGCGAGTTCCAGGAAAGGCGTAAAACTACACAGAGAAACCCTGTCTCGAAAAACCAAAAAACGACAACAACAACAAAAAAACAAACAAAAAAGAAATGCATGAATAACATGTTTTTAAAGAATAAGATTCTTGGGGTCCTTATTTCCTAGAAGAGAATGCACATCAAAAAAGCAATTGTGTGTTTAAGTCAACTTTAATATATAATATCTTTTTGAAAGTTAAACTTCATTACAGAGACAGAATGAATAAATGGAGGCTTTACCCATTGTGTAGGAAGGCTCGCCACATCTTTAGATGTCTTTCAACTTCATTATTAATAATTCTTAGCTAGGTGTGGTGATACACGCCTGTAACCCAGCACTTGGAAGGCAGAGACAGGTGGATCTTTGTGAGTTCAAGACCACTCTGGTCTATATAGTGAGTTACAGGGCACTAAGACTATGTAGAGAGACTCTGTCTCAAAGAACAAAACAAAACAAACAAACAAAAAAATTACTTTTGTGATACCAGTGGAAATCAAGGTATTTATTTTCGTTTTATGTTACATAGTTCTAGGGTTGTGAGAACACCAGTTAAAGCATTTGCCAGCTACAAACACTTCACCTTTGCTGAGGCATTTGTTTTCTTGCCTGTAAAAAGCTAATTGTGCCACTTAAAGTTGGCCATATTTAAAATAGCATAGTAGTAGTTTAAATATTGATGTATATTTGAAGCTTATACAAAATAAAATGTATTCTGTGAAGACAAGTTTTCTATGTCAGTAATTTAAATATATCATTTGTGGTATCCCAAGGTTTTTAAGACTTTGGTAAACACGAAAAATTAAAGTGAATTCATCTAAATAAACCTATCCAATTATAAGGAAATATATTCATTTAGAAGCAGAGTACATAAGCTTTTATGTATATAGCAACATGCCATTGAAATTTGGAATTGTCCATTATTATATTGGCATCTTTATATATATTTACCTTATGTTTAATGTAACTAAAATATACTATGTTTTGAATTTAATAAACTAGGAAACTAGACCCTCAGTTTTTTTCTATCCCATTTTTCAGTACCCCCAAATGAATTTTTATTTGGTCCTTCCATTGTATAATATTGTATAATAGTCTTATGTTCAAAAGATTTTTTAAAACCTCCATCAAACTATTTTTTTGGTTAGTTAACATTGTCACTAAGGAACAAAGGAATGTAAAATCCTAAGCATTGACTTGGTAAGTTAGGAGAGGGCAAAATTTGTCTCAGTATTTAAAGATCACAACAGAGGCCCAATTATATGACTTACACTGCTTGTTTACAGATAGTTTTGAATTTTGGTTTCTATGTATTTAAAATAAAATATTAAATTTAATCTTGACTCCTTATAGTTGTCAAATCTAATAACTTGAAAGACTTAGGAGACTTGATCCCTTTTCCACTGTGTCCCCTCTCTTTAGTCCCTCTTGTTAGATCGCCATTCACCAGGTGTCCCATTTAGCTTTCTGCTGCTGACGTAAACACCATCAGCAGAATTTTGCAACTTGAGGAAAAGCTTATGGCTTACAGTTTATCATGAAGGGACATCAGGACAGGAGCTGAGGCAAGAACTGAAGTAGAGCTCATGGAGGAATGCTGCTTATTGGCTTGCTCTTTATGGCTCACTTAGCTTGCAATACAACCCAAGGCCATCTCTCCAGGAGTGGTACCACCTACAGTGGGCTGGGCCCTCTGGCATCAATCATTATTCAAGGAAATGCTCCATAGACTTTCCTATAGGCCAATCTGATGATGCCTATTTCTCGGTTGAGGTTCCCTCCTCCCAGCTAACCCTAGCTTGTGGTCAAATTGACTAGCACACCAGGTGTTTGAACTTGGACTGAGCCAGTCTCTTTAGAGATAATAACATTATGCTTTATGTTGTCTATTTTATTTATTTATTTAAGTAAAATAGACGTGCTTATATATTTAGCTTTTGAGGAGTTACCCTGCTCTTGATTTCAACTGTTCAGGTTAATTTAAAGATATTTACTCTTGGAATAGCACTTAAAAAATGTTAACAAAACTTTTTTATGAAAATGTGTTTATAAATTTTATATATAGGGTTTATACATTTTTTGATATGTATTTATTTATTTGTGTGTATGTGTTTGTATATGTGAATACATGTGGTAGAAAGAGAACTGACTCCACATGCACGTGTGTGCACACACAAACAATAATAAATGTTAAAAAAAAGTTGTTAAATATTGCTAATTTCTATTGGTCTCTTTCTTCTGGCCTCTGTCTCATTTTCTGTCATTATTTTTGTTAATTCAGACTATCTTTTTGTTTGAACCAATGAGTTCCGAATTATATGAAGTCATTTGGCATACGCTGTTCCCACCTTTGATGCTCTTCTTGTCTTCCATTTCTCCTCTTAGAGTATAGGTCTTTTCAGCATTTTCTGTTTAAACAGTCTGATAGCTGACCGTAGTGTACAGCTGTTAGATTCTCTAGTGTAACTAGCAGCGTCTCTGTACAACAGATGCTTAGGACTCAGGTTGGGTAACAGCCCTTAAATTTGTTTAGAGCAATTTGTTTGTGTGTTTCTATGCACATATTTGGGTAGTAATACTTTTCTTCATGTTTGAACTAAGTGGAATTAGTTATAGAAATTATGTAATTAGGTTAGTGTTAGGGCTTTTTATTTTGTCTTTGAATGAGACACCTTAAATTTTATAATTTATAATTTCTCTTAACCATTGTACTATGTTTTCTCTATATGAAGATAAATTTTTATTAAAGTATGTATCATTTATCTTGCTTTTATGTGTAATATACACACTTGCCTTCTCTTCCTAGAGATAGGATTATTATTCATAGACGTATTAAAAGAAATGTATGGATCCTAGTCGTCTGTAGTGAGCATTTCTCTACTTTCTGTCCTCTGTCAAACATGTAGAAAAATAAGTTAATCACTGTTTCTTTTTGTCATTTTCCCCTTCTCCATTAGCCACTTATTTTGGGTGTGAGTTTCATAGGGGGAAGAGAAGGTTGAGACCTTCCCTTATATGTTTTGAACCCTTAATATTTTACATATGGTCTTGCATCATAGTACCTCAAAAATATTGTTAAGTTGACAAAATGTTTATTCTTTTTACTTTGGGGAGTTTTTGTCGGGGGTGTGTGTGTGTGTGTTAGAATGACTTACTCTTCCTTTTACTCAGTTTGTTTTCTTTTACAGCCCCATTGACAAACCTTCAGATTCTCTCAGTATAGGGAATGGTGATAATTCCCAACAGGTAAGATTTAGATAAAATATTTCATTTATCTGCTATAACCTGAAAGCAAAGCATTTTTAAAAAACACTTTTGTATAAAAAAAAAAAAAAAATCGAAGCCGGACGGTGGTGGCACACGCTTTTAATCCCAGCACTCAGGAGGCAGAGCCAAGTGGGTCTCTGTGAGTTCGAGGCCAGCTTGGTCTACAAAGTGAGTTCCAGGACAGGCTCCAAAGCTACACAGAGAAACCCTGTCTCAAAAAACCAAAAAAAAAGTAAAGAAAAGAAAAGGGAAAAAAAATTAAAAAAATACTTTAAATACCGACATAATTTAAAAATACCATAATGGACTGCTTTGTTAATGTGTAATAGATAGCTTCTTTTCTGCATAGAATGTATAGGGCATAAGTTGGTCCCCTCCCTTTTTTTTTTTTCCTGTTTTTTTGCTCCACATCCTCTCCAGCTTGAGCTGTCACTTGTGTCATTGATCTTAGCCATTCTGACAGGTAGGTGTAAGATGGAATCTCAGAATCGTTTGGCTTTGCATTTCCATTATGGCTAATGACAATGAATATTTCTTTTAAGTGTTTCTTTTTTTTTTTAAATTTAATTAATTTATTTTATTTTACATCCCCACTACAGTTTCCCCTCCCTCCTCTCTTCCCATTACCTCTCCCCACCACCCCCAAATCCACTCTGTTTCTGTTCAGAAAGGGTCAGGCCTCCCATGAGTATCAACAAAGCATGGCATATCAAGTTGTGGTAAGATTAAGCACCTTCCCTTGTATTTAGGCTAGGCAAGACAACCTAGCATAAGGAATAGGTTCCCAAAAGCCAGCCAAAGCATTAGGGACAGCCCCTGCTTCCATTGTTAGGAGTCCTACAAATAGACCAAGCTACACAACTGTCACATGTCTATGTAGAGGGCTTAGGTCAGTCTATGCAGACTCCCTGATTGTTGCTTCAGACTCTGTGAGTTCCTATGAGCCAGGTTAGTTGTGTCTGGGTTTTCATGTGATGTCCTTGACCCCTCTGGCTCCTACAATCCTTCCTCCCTCTCTTTAACAGGTTTCCCTAGAGCTTGGCCTAATGTTTGGCTGTGGGTCTCTGCATCTGTTTCCATCAGTTACTAGACGAAGGTTCTCTGATGGCAATTGGGGTGGTCACCAATCTGATCACGGGAGATGGCCAGTTCAGGATATATACCCACTATTGCTAGGAGTCTTAGCTAAGGTCATCCTTGTAGGTCATCATGGGTTTTCCTTTGCATGAGGTTTCTACTTGACCCTGAGAAGCCAACCATCTCTTTCAGTACTCTCTCCCTCCATCCACCTCCCCAACCTGACCCCACTAGTCTGTGAATTGTAGCATGATTATTCTTTACAGTAATATCCACTTAAGAGTGAGTACATATCATGTTTGTCTTCTGGGTCTGGGTTATCTCACTCAGGATGATTTTTTTTTTCCTAGTTCCATCCATTTGTCTTCAAATTTCCTGATGTCATTGTTTTTAACAGCTGAGTAATACTCCATTGTGTAAATGTACCACATTTTCTTTATCCATTCTTCGGTTGAGGGGTATTTAGGTTGTTTCTAGGTTCTGGCTATTACAAATAAAGTTGCTATGAACATAGTTGAACATACCTTGTGGTAGGTATGACTGAGCATCCTTTGGGTATATGCCCAAGAGTAGTATCTATCACTGGTGTTCTATTCAGGAAGTGGTCTCCTGTGCTAGTGTGTTCAAGGCTATTCCTACTTTCTCTTCTATCAGGTTCAGTTTAACTGGTTTTATGTTGAGGTCTTTGATCCATTTGGACTTGAGTTTTGTGCAGGGCAATAGACATGAATCTATTTGTATTCTTCTACATGCCAACATGCAGTTATGCCAGTACCATTTGTTGAAGATACTTTCTTTTTCCCATTGTATAATTTTGGCTTCTTTGTCAAGTTAGTCTCTTCTTAATAACAAAAATTACATTGATAACCACATACTATTGTAGAGTATCATAATGTACCAGTATCTTTCAAGTCAGCTACAGCTTTTTTTTTTCATTTTTATTTATTTATTTTTCTATTATCAGCTTGATACAGTACAAATTCTTATCCTAATAATGAAATGTTTCACTGAGGCTTGCCTAGGTGATTGAGTAAAACCAAAACTTATTATAAACCACAGTCATCCTAGGGTCCCCCCTGCTATGTTGCCTCCCTGGTTCTGTGGGTTGCAATCTGATTGTTCTTTGCTTTATATCTAGAATCCACTTATGAGTGAGTACATACCATATTTGTCATTCTGGGTTTGGGTTACCTCACTCAGGATGATATTTTCTAGTTCCATCCATTTCTCTGCAAATTTCATGTTGTCATTGTTTTTCTCTGCAGAGTAGTACTCCATTGTGTATATGTACCTCATTTTCTTAATCCATTCTTCAGTTGACAGACATCTAGGTTGTTTCCAGGTTCTGGCTATTACAAATAGTGCTGCTATGAACATAGCTGAGTATGTATCTTTGTTCAGTGTACTGGATTTATGTTGAAGTCTTTGATCCACTTGGACTTGAGTTTTGTGCATGGTGACAGATATGGATCTATTTGTAATCTTTTACATATTGACATCCAGTTATGCCAGCACCATTTGTTGAAGATACTATACTTTCTTTTTTCCATTGTATAGTTTTGGCTTCTTTGTCAAAAATCAGATGTTCATATGTGTGTGGATTAATGTCAGGGTCTTCAATTCGATTCCATTGGTCTGTATGTTGGTTTTTATACCAGTACCAAGCTGTTTTTATTACTATAGCTCTATAGTAGAGCTTGAGGTCCGGGATGGTGATGCCTCCAGAAGTTGCTTTATTATACAGGATTCTTTTAGCTATCCTGGGTCTTTTGTTTTTCCATATGAAGTTGAGTATTTTTCTTTCCAAGTCTGTGAAGATTGTGTTGGGATTTTGATGGGGATTGCATTGAATCTGTAAATTGCTTTTGGTAAGATTGCCATTTTTACTATGTTAATCCTACCTATCCATGAGCATGGGAAATCCTTCCATTTTCTGATATCTTCTTCAATTTCTTTCTTTAAATATTTAAAGTTCTTATCAAACAGATCCTTCACTTGTTTAGTTAGTGTTACCCCAAGGTATTTTATATTATTTGTGGCTATTGTAAAGGGTGATGTTTCTCTGATCTCTTTCTCAGCCCTTTTATCATTTGTGTATAGGAGGGCTACTGATTTTTTTGAGTTAATCTTGTATCCTGCCACTTTACTAAAGGAGTTTATCAGCTGTAGGAGTTCCCTGGTAGAATTTTTGGGGTCACATGTATACTATCATATCATCTGCAAATTTGTATCCCCTTGATCTCCTTTTGTTGTCTTATTGCTCTAGCTAGAACTTCAAGTACTATATTGAATAAATATGGGGAGAGTGGACAGCCTTGTCCTGTTCCTGATTTTAGTGGAATCGCTTTGAGTGTCTCTCTGTTTAATTTGATGGTGGCTAGCTTGCTGTAAATTGCCTTGATAACCACATACTTGTATAGTATCATAATGTACCAGTATCTTTCAAGTCAGCTACAGTTTTTTTTTTTTTTTTTTTTTGGTTTTTTCGAGACAGGGTTTCTCTGTGTAGCTTTGCACCTTTCCTGGAACTCGCTTTGGAGACCAGGCTGGCCTCGAACTCACAGAGATCCGCCTGGCTCTGCCTCCCAAGTGCTGGATTAAAGGCGTGCGCCACCACCGCCCGGCAACTACAGTTTTTTTTTTAAGACACAAATTCTATAAAATAGCTTGAAAATCTGTTTATACCTTGTATATTTTGAGTTGACATTAAATTTTTTTTTTTAATGAGCTAAAAGTAATTGGGGCTGGATGTTCTTGCAGAGGACCTAGGTTTGATTCCTAGTACCTATATGGTGGCTCACAGTCATCCTACCCCTTTGTTCCATGGGATGCAGTACCCTCTTTTGACCTCTGTGGATACCATGCACTCACGTGGTGCATGCACATACACACAGGCAAAACATTCATAGACATAAGATAAAATAAACCTTAACATGTTTTTTGTTAAAAAACAAATTAAAGTAGTTACAAGATGTAATCTTTAGCATATAATCAGTGTTAATATTTTTCTTTCTCTTTTTTATTTTGAGACAGGGTCTTATTTATAAGCTGATTTTGTATTGGCTCTGTAGCTGAAGCTGATCTTGAGTTCCTGAGTCTCTTTCCTAAACCTCCCAAGGGCTAGGTTTACACACATGTATAACATGCCTAGTAGTTTTTTTCAACTCAGATATATCTAAGAATCGTAATATTTTGTACCCATCATCATATTTTGATCACATCATGTTTTGATACTAGATTTAGAAAATTCTGTTTTAGAAAATACTTAGGCTTTTCAACAGTTAGAAATTTTACATCATTTTCTCTTCTTCTTGGAATATAATATACCTTTTTCTACTGTCATCACCAAGTTGTAGCTTAATGCATTGTACTTCCCATAGACAAATGTAGGGCTCATATGGCCTGAATCTGTACCCTAGGTACCCACATAAAAGCTGAGTGCAGCTGGGCAGTGGTGGCACACGCCTTTAATCCCAGCACTTGGGAGTCAGAGGCAGGCAGATCTCTGTGAGTTTGAGGGCAGCCTGGGCGACAGAGTAAGTTCTAGGAAAGGTGCAAAGTTACACAGAGAAACCCTGTCTCAAAAAAAACTAAACAAAACAAATTATAAAAAAAAAAAATGCTGAGCGCAGTAGCATATATCTGCAACCCAGTATTGGTAGAGCAGGGACAGAATTTGGCACAACTGCCTAGATGATCTCCAAGTTCAGTAAGAGACCTTGTCTCACAAACTAAGGTGGAGCATGTGTAGGAAGATACCCAGTGCAGATTTCTGGCTTTTGTATGAACGTGTACACATGTACACGTACTCATATGAATACACACAAACACACCAAAACAACAACAACAACAAAACCCCTCAACACCCCCTCCCCCCATACACACACAGAAACCTCACAAATAAGCTTGTACATTTTAACTGAAATATTTTTCTATGGCAAGAGTTGTTTGTTTGTTTGTTTTGGTGTGGTGCTGGCCATTGAACCTAAGGGGTCTTACTTGTACTAGGCAAGGCTACAATTATATTCCCAACCCTATGAGAAGGATTTAAATACTCTTTTTCCCCTGTTCACTTTGTATTAGTAGTATTGAGTTGATCAAACAGCATATATCGGAGTCATCTCAATAATTTTTCATGTATGAACATTGGTAATATTAAATAAACTTGTGATAATCTTAGTCATCCTTTTCATTTTCCCAAGACATTTTGTATAAATAGTACACAGATAGAGGAGGAGAGGTTTATACTGTCCCTCACACCATGGAATTAAATACTATAGAATCATATAAAGATTGAGCTTTGTAATAAGCATGAGGTTTTCTTTTTTTTTTTTTTTATTTGTTTGATTAGTTGTTTGTTGCTTTTGCTTTCGATGCTGGGGATTGAACACAGGGTCTTATCCAGCCTCCAGAATTATTTTTTAATGATTGTTTGAGAAAAACTTGGTTAGATCTTCATTTTGGTTAATTTATTGTAAATGTTTTCAATTGTGGTTTATTACAGTACACACTTAGTTTGACTTCTTCCTCTTTCTTTTAGATATCTAACAGTGATACGCCTTCACCACCACCTGGTTTATCAAAATCCAATCCCGTCATCCCCATCAGCTCATCCAATCACAGTGCAAGGTCTCCTTTTGAAGGGGCAGGAACAGAGTCACAGTCATTATTTTCAGACAATTTTCGCCACCCCAACCCTATACCAAGTGGGCTTCCTCCTTTTCCCAGCTCTCCACAGACACCCAGTGATTGGCCTACAGCTCCAGAACCACAGAGCCTCTTCACATCAGGTATGTAATTACCTAGTATTAGTAATCAGACTCACAGAAATTGAGAGACTTATGGGATATATTTTGGTTGATATACTTCTATCTTGTTTTCTTTCAACTCCCTTTTTTAAAAAAATGTAAATTATTTAAACAACATTGTATTAGTTGTATTGCCTAGAAATTACAGTGTTGGAGAACAGATTTATCTAGAAATTATTTGTTTTTATTGAAAATAATAAAAAAAAATGTTATTTTCTGAAATAAAAACTCGCTGCTCTGGCTGGGCATGGTGGCACATGCCTTTAATCCCAGCAGAATTAGGCCAGATCTCTTGAGTTCCAGGACAGCCAGGCTATACAGAGAAACCCTGTCTCAAAAGCCAAAGGGAAAAACAAAGTTACTGCTCTGGGAGTAACTTAGGAATTAACATTTTAAGTCAGATTTGTGTTTATATATTCAAATTTAAATCTTTCCCTAATTGTCTGATTGACAAATAAGTAATTTATTTAGTGGTAAAAGCTAAACTTTGCCCCTTTTCTGCTATTCTGTTTTTAAAAGTTTTGACATGGTTTATATTTGTATGAGGTTTATACTTTTACTCTTTTGGAAATTATGTTTTAACTGATATCCAAAGCACAGTGCGAGCCACCTGCAGGAACTTTGGTGTCTTTTACTACATAACATTCAGGTGAAACTAGACTAAAGAATGGATTACATTCTCTTCCTTGAAGAGGCTTGGCTTTGTCGTGCTGGTTTCGGAGGTGGCTGCCAGCCAGTCTTGGTGGCAGTGAGTGGCCAGGCAGAGCATCGGGTTAGAAAGCAGAGAGCACACCCTTTCTCTCTTTACTCATCTCAGTTTTATATCAATCTGGAAGACGGCATAAGTTAATAGACTCAGTAGCACCTGTGATGTAGACAATTAAAAGCATATAATTAGATGTTTAATTTATTTTAGTATACAATATAAGAATGAGCCTTACTAGATAAAATTTTTTAGACTATAGTACTTTTAATGACATGCTGGTTTTGATTATGAATTGTTGGGTATAATCTGGGTAGCAGAGAAGTTTTTCCTTATCGGCACAACCAGCCTATATCATTCAGTTTTTTAACTTAATAATTTAAGAATGAAATCACTGCTAGAAATTTATGAGGTCCTCTGGAATTAATGATCTTGCATTGTTTGTTTTCTATTGTAATGTAGCATGCTTCACACTGGTTTAGACTGTAATGTAGGATGTTTAATATACTCTGTAAAGATAGACTCTTTATTTTACATTCATCACTCTTTTTCTTCTGCTGACAGAAACAATCCCAGTGTCATCATCTACAGACTGGCAAGCAGCATTTGGCTTTGGTTCTTCTAAACAGCCAGAGGATGACTTGGGTTTTGATCCCTTTGATGTCACTCGAAAAGCCTTAGCAGACCTGATTGAGAAGGAACTGTCCGTCCAAGATCAACCTTCCCTGTCTCCCACATCTCTTCAGAACTCCTCCTCACACACTACAACCGCCAAAGGTCCAGGCTCTGGATTTCTGCATTCTGCTGCACCTACAAATGCCAACTCTCTTAATAGTACCTTTTCAGTCTTGCCACAGAGGTTCCCTCAATTTCAGCAGCACCGAGCAGTTTATAATTCATTCGGTTTTCCAGGCCAGGCAGCCCGCTATCCTTGGATGGCCTTTCCACGCAATAGCATCATGCACTTGAACCACACAGCAAACCCCACCTCAAATAGTAATTTCTTGGACTTGAATCTCCCGCCACAGCACAACACAGGTCTGGGAGGGATCCCCATAGCAGGTAGGTTCATTTGAAGCCTCTGAGAATATATGTATCATTCATGTCTTCAGGTTGCTGGGTGGTTAGGGAAGAGCTACTGGGTAACAAGAGTACACAATAGTCTTAGAAATTTCTATCTTTAACCTTTTTTTTTTTTTTTTTTTTTGGATTGAGTGAATGCCTTGTAATATGGAGCTTTATAAGGATGGTGGAGTATTATACCTACTTAGTGTTTGGAAGCATTGTATTGAATAGGATAGTTACCAGACCTTCAGATGATATATAAACACAAAAACGAAAAAGAAAAATTGGGCTCTGAAATTATGGTGTTATAAAGGCCAACACCATAGTAAAAATATCTTGTGTTATATTCTAAAAGTAAAGTGGTTAAAGTTTTTTTAAATCAAAAATAATGAGAGCATGAGGGATAAAGCCACTCTTAACTGCTATAGCAATTACTTGTTTTGACTGATACATACATGCACACATCAAAACTGTGCCATATGCGTGTATAGCAATATTTGAGAACTTCAGTTATCAATGTTTTATAAACATATTATATGTCACAGACATACTTTCTGTGAAAAATTGTTTAGGAGAGATTTTATCTATTAGTTGGCTATGTTTTTATTTCTGGGATAAATTAGGGATAAAATAAATTAGGATGAGTAAGGTAATACAAGTTTGATGCCAGAGGACTTCTGGTTTTGTACTGCTACCCTTGAAGGTTTCAGAATTTTGGGGTTTTAAGATCCTATATAACAGTTTTAAATGAACTATCTTGGAAAGAAGTCATTCTGGTTAACTGTTTTCATTTAATTTGGGCTTTAGAGATGATGTGATAAAGCTTGTCCCCCTCCGATTCTCTTCAAGTAGAACAGAATAGTTCTCACCCTGTTGTGTACTCATGCAATTATTTTCATCCCTTCCATGACCTTTAAGATGTGTCATTAAGGCATAGTGTCATTACAGTAGTGTACTTTTACCACTAAGGCACTCATGCTCTTGTTTTTTAGCAAGTTGACAGCTAAACTTAGAACCATCAATAGTCATTGGTTATGTTCCCTTAGGGCCAGCAGCACTTCATGTTCTAGACAAGTAGCTAGGTGTTAGTTTGTTGTTATGGATATAGTGAAGTTTAACAGTTGAAACAGTGAACTTAATTTACACATATTGGAGAACACCTGCTGTAGTGATTTGTATAGTTGATGGGGTTCATGATACCTTGCTCATTGAATTACACTAGGTTGTAGGGAATCCAGAGTAGAATTTTTCAGTCCTTTGCTGTGATATCCACTGTCTTAATTTCTACATGCCTTTTCCCTTTCTTCCATTCAGCATAGCATACTAGAATGTAATTTTGTTTGAGTTTGCTTTGTCTTAATAATTTAGAAGAAGACATTTTAATTTCTAGTAGTGTTCCTTTTAGCTGGTCCTGAAAGTTAAAAGTTAAGGTCCCCTTAAGTATGCCAAACATTTAAAAATAGAGTAGTGAGCCAGTTATGGTTAACATTTCAGTTCCTTTTTGCCTAACAGTGAACTAGGTCATGTGGGAAATACAAAAGTAGGGAATACAGATGGTATTTCAGGTAGCTGATAATATATTTGAAGAGTTAAAGTGAAACTCTATGGCAAATTGGCTAACTGTATGTGTGGTCCTGAAATCTGAGAAACAGTGTAGGTAATCATTGTTGGAGAATTTTTTGAAGAAGTAGAAATTGATTTATAATGTGGTGTCTTGAATTTGGGTTCTCAAAGGAGAAAGGTCGTTTATGTTGATGGAAACCTCCAGAATAAAGGCATAGAGACAGATACTGTGTGCTATTACAGTAAGCAGAACTGTCTTTTATAACAAGAGGTGTTTTTTAAATTGTAGGGATGAGATAAACAAGAAGATGAGGCGCTCTGGTAGAGAAAGAGAGAGCACATGATATTGGACTTTCGTTTTTAGTTGTACACATTTGGTACCCTTGGTTGACTTACCACATGTCTATCTGTTATTACAACTTCTGAGTTGTTATTGTTCATTAGTACCCAGCAACATTTCCAAATGTTTCAAACAAGTAAATATTTTGGAATATCAGCAATGAGATATCTCTGATTTGTTAAGTACAGACCTTTTTGTGTTAGGTTTTTTTTTGAATCTTCACCTAAAATAGATAACTTTATTTTTAAATGTAGCATTAAATTATAATTCTATCCTTTGTTTTTCCCCCCTCCCTTTGCTTATACTCAACCACAGAACATTGAAAACTTTTTTTATAGGTGCTAAAAATGAAGTCACCAACTTAATTCTGAGTCATTATTGTATTCACTGTGGGGTGGAGAGAGAGTTATTTCAGATTTTCAATATTTGGCAATGCAGTCTTGTTTGGTATTTAAATGGTGACTTATAACTAAGCTTGCTATTAGATTATTTTTAAAGTACTGAAGACTAGAGAAACTTAGTTTTAATTTACAAAAAAAATATTAAAATTGTTAAGAGTCACACTAGAATCCTGTTAGAGCTAGTCAATATTTGTCAGATGCCTCAGAATATGCTAATAAGCCTTAGAATAGTTACAGAATTGTAACTAGATGATTTAGGATTTTCAGTAACTATTATAATGACAAAAGAGAACATCTGAAATGCATCTAATTTGAAACAGTTTACCTGGGAATTATCTGCCTCCCTCAACCTAGATGTATTTGATTTGGATGACTGCCGGGAACTAAACTTTGCATCCTCTAGTCTTTATCATAGTGCCCTATTCAGCAGATCTGTTTGTTAATGCTTCACTAGTGGAGACTACGCACTGTTTATGAGGCCTCCTAAAATATAGTTCGAACTGAGTCTGTGTAGGAAGGAGAGGTACACATACTTACTCTTCAGCTGTGTAGAGCAAATCAGAGGTGGTAACCACCATGTCATGCAGATGCCTTGTCTGTCTACTATATATTTGTATTTAAATTTTTATTTTTGTTTGTTTCAGTTAATTATAAAAACATTGATATATCTGAAACCTATCATGGGCAGAACAGTTGCCAGAGGTGTGACAGAAATTCAGTTTCCATTCCTTTGTCTTACTGAAAATATTTTTGTGCTTTCAATTGGTTATTTCCTTTAGTACTTAAGTATTTTTATCAGTGTTTTCTGGGCTTGTTAAGTATCTGGTTTGCTAAGTCCAGAAGATAATTGAAATATTTCTGTTGAGTAGTTTTAATTGGTAAGTAAGTAGAAGGGATTCATTTAGATTTTTTTTATTATTGGATCCATGTACGTTTGTTCTAAAAAGTGACTCACTTTGTCTAGTTCATTCATTTTAGGATTGTCAAAACTGTATTCCAGCAAATTTAAATAATTTAAGGTTACATGTTCAGTTAGTGCTAAGCCAGGGTCACAGCCCAGATCTCAAAGTCAGTAATGGAAGTGGTTTTGGGATGCAACACTGATGCTCTCCTTTACAATTGAAGACCACTGTCATGTGCTTCAACTTGGCTTTTCCCCTAATTGACTTTTGCTCTCACATATTCGCAAATCTTTTTTTTTAAGTCAGCAGTATTTCTTCATGAGACAAATTGGCCAGGCTTAGGAAAAACAAATACAAAGAAAGTAGAATGATGCTTATTAACTTGAGAATCAGTCTCTTGCTTAGGTCCTTATTAGTATTGATGTTCTCACCAGGAAATGGAGTTTCAATTTGCTTTGGCACAGCCTCCTGCTATGAACTTGAGGGTGTAAGAGAGTTTGCTAATTGAAATAACCTGTCCTATGGATTGAACATTCTTTCTACAGTTTGTCAGTTAAGCTAACTTTCCAAATGTAGTTTTGCAGATTTATTTTTCAAAGAATTCTTTGCTAAAATGTTTTTACTACATAATGCTGAACCTTATTTGGAAAATAACCTTTAGTAAGTGTAAGTCTCTAAGCAGTGTTGTTTCAAGGTATTACTCAAAAATATTTGAAATTGTTTAGGCTTCAGATTTTTCATGTTTTTTTGTTAATTCAAATTTTACTTACCAGAAGGCATTTTTCTTTAAATTTTGTTTTTATAGTAACTATTTTCACAGTGACTATTGAGTTTTGTGTCATGCGTAAAGTAAGTTACTTGGAGTGAAATGATTATCAATTATAATTAGGAGAATTGGTCTCATTCATGTATAGTTTTCTGACTAGAAGTAGTCATCTTACTTTTCAGTCAATTGGATCATTGTACTGTTAATATTTTACTATTTTCTAATTACTTCAAAAGAACATAGTAAATTTCAGATGCTATATGTTAATTTAATCAATTAATATTTGTATCTAGTATTTCTTTTTTCCTTTTTTCCTAATATACAACTTATGCCTTTGAAACATGAGTTTATAATTTTCTTCTTTTAAAATCTATTTTCTCTCCTGTAAGTCAAATCTTAAGTTTTTTTTTTTTTTTTTTTAAAAACAAACTAGTACTTACTGCTAAGGAATATCTATGTAAGGGTCCAATTGGCTTGGAAAAGAATGGCTTTCCTGGTCTTTAATCTTTTCTTCTTTTTATTTATTTATTTTTGGTGGTGCATTTGTAATCTAAATCTATTATATTTGATCTTACCTTAAAATAAGGGTGTGTTTAGTTTATTTTTTAGGTACTTAAGTTAATATTTTAAAATTCATGTCTTGTTTCACACCCAGATCCCAACCATTAAGCATGTATTTTATATATGTATCAATATTCCAAATATTGAAATCATTTTTAAAGGGACTGTTAACAAATCTAGTCACCCGTAACTAGACCATGACTGACTTTTCCACAGGGGAAGAAGAGGTGAAGGTTTCGACCATGCCACTGTCAGCCTCTTCCCATTCATTACAACAAGGACAGCAGCCTACAAGTCTCCACACTACTGTGGCCTGACACCAGAACTGAGAGGAGAGGATTAGACTCTGGGGTGCTTGCATGGGCAACTGGATTTTTGCATGATTCCTTTCTGATTTTGCATTTAATGTATACACCCAAAAGAGCCGATATAAACGTTCCTCATGCCTACAACTAGTGTGTACCTCATAGTTGCTAAAGGATTTCTTCATTAGGCCTTTAACATAATTGATTAGCATAATAATTTTGGCATTGTTTCTCATGAGTGATAATATTTTTTACTCATACAAATAAACTTATAGTACTAATTAAGATCCCAGAGGAGATTAGCTAGACTTGTTCTTGCTCTATTATTGGAAATATACAAAAGTAATGGTAGTTCTTTGTTTTTTGGTTTGTGAAAAAAATGGTAATATTCTAATCTACTCCTGAAGTTTTTGAAACATTAAGATAATGTCTATTGCATTCTTTGAATCCTTGAAAAGAAAGAATACATATAAAACAAAACTGGTGGTGTCATTTAATGCTCAGAAAGATGTTGTCAGCCATTGTTTTTAGTTGCCTAGATTTATATCATATATTATGCATTACATGTATACAAACTGTTTTGTTCTTATTCATTTGCACATTTGCACTTTTCTTTTTGAATGGTTGTTAATTACACATAGATGGTTAAAAGGTAATTATTATGGCCTAAATGCAATATAATCTCTTTTCTAATGCACTGCCTAGTATACCAGGAAATGCCTCAAAAACAGAATTTCAACTTGTAGTTGACTTTTAGAAACTTGAACATGGGGTAAACATTGTATGTAAGTAGTAGTCATAGTAGTGTAACGTTTTTATTGGGCAAGCAGTAGTTCAGTAAGATCTGTTTGGAAATTTCATTGTTAAATAATTGACATGTGATGAAAGTACCTGGCCAGAATAAAACTTATAGTAGAAGAAAGAAGCTGGATGTCCTATAAAATGAGACCATATAAGTTGTAATAGATAACCTTAGATAATCAAAGATCAATGGAGTACTTTATAAAGGCATAATGTAAAGTGATGCTTTTGATAATACAGAACTTCTTGAAATAGCCACAAAAGTGATAATAAAAAAAATAAACTGAACTTAGTTCTGAGTAGTGGACAAAAGCTGATTTAAAAACTATCACCATAAAAGCATCTGGGGAGAAAAAGAAAGCCAGACCTCTTGAGATTTTTTTTAAAAAGTTTAAAAAGTATGCCTTAATTTGTGAAAAACAATATGAAAGGGATATTACAAATACCAAAAAGAAATCTAAATATTATGTTAAATCTAAGAATTTAGCATAATATTAATAATAAAGCATCTTATTTGAAGATGTTGCTAATGTTATATAGCATTGGCACTTTCTGGGTTACTTTTCAACATAAAATATGGTGACTTCCTGTTACATATAACAAAATAAATGGCTCCATCCTGAGGTATAGTGGAGTAAAGTGAAAATTTGTTCTTAGTTTTGTTTTTTGTGTTTTTTTTTTTAATTTTGTTGAGGTCATAGAATTGACCAATTCTCTACCTATCTAATTTGTGTTTTTAGAGTTCAGCATAAATATCAATCTCTAGCTTGCATTTAAAAGTAAATTTATAGCAACGTTATATGAAAGTCACTGTCTTAGAAAATACCAGAACAATACTGTACACTTATTAAATATCAGCCTTTAATCATATCTTAATTCAGTTATGGTTTTCATTTGACTATAAAACCTCCAGATTTTGCTATGTGTTCTATTGGGGTAAGGCTTCTGATCTTAGCTTTCTCCAATTTTGAAGCGAGCATTTCATTGGCTGGCTGCATTTTCTTAGAAGGCCATGGAGGGTGACTGGCTCTCATTTACTGACTTCTTTGTGTTGTGAGGGGTGCTGCTGAACAAAGCTGCTTTCTTTATCTTTCTGTTCTTTTTCATTCATAATTTGTACAGAGTATTTGTCCAGAGTTTTCCCAGACTTGCCCATAGTCCCTGATAAGAGTCCCAAGGCTGTCTCCTCCCTGCCTACTCTTGTCCCCCTTTACTTCAGACATAGCTATGAATTCAGGAAATGCTTCTTGAGCAGTTAGAATTCAGCATTACAACTATGTAGAATGGTTAAAAACTTACTTTTAAGTTTTTTGTTTTTTTTGTTTTGTTTTATAATTTCTAGACCTTGTAAAGGCTCACATTTTTGTTTACTATTTTTTTTTTTTTAGAAGTCCTTAAAGTCATAATTTACACTAAAGCACGGAAGAAATCATGTGGTACATAAAAGTACCATTTTATATGGTGGGCAAATTTAACCAAAATGGTGGGAAGAATGAGGAATTCTAAGCAGCTTTGGGTTTGTCGATACATTCTTGTTTGATGGATTTTATACTGGGATACTATTAATTTCACTCCTTTGGCCATTATAAAGTGATTAGTCTTTTCCTTAACACGGGGATTTTTAACCTGGAGTCCTAGACTCTTAGAAGGTATATGTGAAATGATGGGTTTGTGTATATGAACATATGTTTGTTGTTTAAGGAAGATTCATAGTTACTAGATTGATAAAGAGTATGGTGACATTCTCCCTCTCTAGACGGTTTCAAATGACTAAGAAATGACTGCCTTCAAATGCCTTTAGCCCTGAAGGAAATAGAGTCCCACCCCAGTTGACTTTTAGCTCTGGAATGAGAAGATTCCAGTAGAAAATATTTTACTTAATAATGATTTCTTTTTCATTCCACATTTTGCATTTTTCAGATGGTACTTTGGTACATTCTTCCTCTTATTTCAGCAAAGCATTAATTAAATATTTTTATTTTGTAAAGTGACCTGAGCTAGATCTTGAGGAATACAAGATTGAATAAAACATACAGACACCAGTCTAGTGACAGATTTATTTCACATTATTTTCATTGATACTCTTACTACAACAGCCACAGCAATCCAGACTCATTCCATTAGTCTTATTAAATCTTAGTAGACTAATTCCATTAACTATTCGGACAGTGGCAGGGTGTTAAATACTGATACCTCAGTTCTAAATTGTGTTCTGATTTGGAGGGAGGTTAAAAAAACAAACAATAGAGAAGACATGTTCTTCATTCTATTTTATACATGTATATGCTCATTTCTCAGCATCCTGCAAATTGAATCATGTAATTGTGTTTCTTTGAAGTAAGCCACTTTAATGCATTTTGTCTGTGCATACTTGTACTGACATAGTTTATTTGTATGGTATTCCAAGTACCTTCAAAACTGCCAAAACTTTCTTCTGTTCTGACACAGCTTTATAGGGAGGTACACCCAGAGATGCATTGCTGCAAAAAGCCCAGAGAAAGGAAAGAATAGTAGGAGCATTTGAAATCTAACAAAATTGAGCACTACTATGGGTGGGGGTGGGGAGCTTTACTTGTAAGGTTTTAGAGTTTCTCTTTTTTTGATCATGAAGGTTTCTCAAATCTGTTTAATTGACTTAAAAGATGAAAACATAGTAGCCTTTTCTTTTTTATTGAAAGAAGTAATCTATATTCTATGAAATAGACAAAGTCAGACATCTACTGGTAAGCCAGCACACCTGCTCTTAGTACTGTCTCTCTCCCTTGCTGAATGAATACTCACTCTGTAGTGTGTGCAGATATCACACAAACATGTTTAGGGAGTAAATCAGACATTGTGCCAATTTCAAATCAAAACAGCAGGAGCTTGAAAATGAGCTTGTTTTTGAACTGATAAAAGGAACGTTTTTATAAAAGGTGGGGTGTTGCTACTTGTGAAGAGGACTACCATTTAAATTAAAAGGAAGGGAAAGTTGGTACAGTAAAGAAGGACTGAGCCACCAACCAGAAGGACCAGGAATTAGACATGACTGAGGTATATGGGTTCAAGTAAGCTGAAGCCTGGAAAGTGATGAGGAAGAGAAGTATGATGGGGCGGATGCTGTAGCGTTTGGGTGTGGTATAACACTGTCTTAGCATTTTAAGAGGTTAATTTGCAATTAGGACAAATTAGAATCTAGTTTCAGGATGCCATTGTTGACCAGTGCAAATAGATGGCTTGGACTAGGCTAGGTTTGGCTAGGTCTCTAATGACCTTTTAAAACCAAAATTGCATAAAATGGTCCAAAATGGGAGGTAGATATTTTTTTAATTTTTATTTGTTCTTCTCTAATGTAATACATCCCAACCACAGCCTCCACACCCTCCAATCCTCCAACCTCACGCCCTCCCCAGATCCACTGTTGCTCCATTTCCATTTAGAAAAGAGCAGGCCTCCCAGTGATATCATCTGAACATGGCATAACAAGATGCAATAAGACTAGGCACAAGCCCCTCATATCAAGGCTGTACAAGCAACTCAGTAGGAGGAAAAGGTCCCAAGAGCAGGCAAAAGAGGCATCAAAGACACCACCACTTCTACTGTTAGAAGTTCCCCCCAAACCCATAGCTAAACAACCATAGCATATATGCAGAGGACCTAGCTCAGACCCACATGTTCTCCTGGTGTGCTTGACCCCTCTGGCTCCTACAATCCTTCCTCCTTCTCTTCTGCAGGATTTCATGAGCTCCACCTAATGCTTGGGTGTGGATCTCTGCATATGAGGAGATAGATTTAAAACAAAACCAAAAAAACAGGATCTCATTGTTTGTTATTCATTTCAACACTACTACCCTGTTCTTTTGTATGAAATCTAAAAATCCCTGAATCACCTTCTACATCACTCAAATATTGGTTAACAGAAAATACAATACCGGCCTCTTCTTGACTATAAGATTATTATTGTTATTGTTATTATTATTCCAGCTGGCCTCAAAGTCACTATATTGCTGAGGATGACATGGTACTTCTGATGATGACATGGTACTTCTGATCCTGCTGCCTCTATCTCCTGAGTTCTGAGTGCTGTGATTATAGACATGTGATACCATACCCAGTTTTATGTAGTGCTAAGCATTGAACCCAGGGTTTCATGCTTCACCAACTGAGAGCTACATCTTCAACCCCTCTCCCCATCTCCATATTCTAAAAGACAGGATCATATGATGTATCCCAGGCTGGCCTCAAATTCACCCTCCTCTACTTATCTTGGCCTCTGCAGTGCTGGATTTTCAGGTCTGTCCCATGATACTCAGCTGAGGAAAAAAGTTTGTGAGATGAGGTTTCCTTTAGAGATTTGGGGTTTACACACCCCATATTTATTAAAGAATTGTTGTGTAAAGATAGGGTTGTGCTTAGAAATTTTACGTAGTTTCCAGTATATGTACTTTTAAATGATTCTTGATTCAACATAAAGTTCAGGAGTGGAAAAAACAAACAATTGGGAGATTAATTAGAAGGTGAAGAGGATGAAGACATAAATTCAAAATTATAACATTAAAATATCCAATATTGCTGGGTGTGGTACCACATACCTTTAATTGGGCCCAGCACAGAGGCAGATGGATCCCTGTGAGTTCAAGGCCAGTTTGATCTACATAGTAAGTCCCCAGACAGTCAGGATTACATAATCTTATAGTCCAGAAGAGGCCAGTAAGGCATTTCCTGTAAACCTATGGTGTGAGTAATGTGGAAGGGGATTCAGTTCCTTTAGATTTCATGACAAAGAACAGGTAGTGTTCAATGGATGACAAAGAACAGGGGTTTGGTCAGTGTGATGGCCTCAGTGCTAAGTGATGGATGAGAAGCAGAGAAAGAATGGTGGGTTGTAGGATTGGAAGGACAGCTAGCTTTTGTAACCCCTGTATGGTCTCCACCCTATTTTCTTCTAGTCTTTTTTGAGAGTGTGAAGTTGATCTGAATTGTAGAGAGCATGATGTTGCCTGTAGAATCCCAAGTCCAGTTTCCTATAAGTCAAAATGACCCAAAGGCAAACTTCCTGAAAGAATGATAGGAGCACATGAAAGGGGAGTACTGGGGAGGGCCTAGAAAAAGCCAAGGGTGAGAGGAGTCAGGTTTGAGGAAGCTCTGTAAGTGCAAAGGAGTGTTTGGAATGTTGGGGTCAGAGAGAATTAGGATGGGGTAGATGTGGGACATGGTGAATGTGTTAAAGAGCCCATTGTTAAACCAGAGGCACCCAATTTCAGAAGCAAACTAGAAAGTCCCAGCATAGGCTTTCCATTTATGAAGGCAAAATATTTCACACAATTGGATTAGGTTATTTTGCTTAATTGTAAGTTAAGAGCACATTCATGGAGTAGAGAAAAGTTAACAACCTCACTATAAAAGACAAAAATATTTTGGTAATTTTCTCCAATGAGATTATATTGTGTGAACAAATAAAATCGATGAATTTGGGGGCTAATATACTTTTGGTCCTTATATTTTGTATACTTAGGTTAGTAATCTTTACAAAAAGTTACTGAAGTATAGTAGAGCAGGTAGGAAGGCGTGCGTGCGTGTGCGTGTGCGTGTGCGTGTGTGTGTGTGTGTGTGTGTGTGTGTGTGTGTGTGTGTGTGTTTCTTCAACTAATTAGTAGCAATACCTAGTTTGGAAGCAGCCTTAATTTTCTGGCACATGAGTGTTATTTAGGTAATTAAATTTGTTTCCACATATGTAGAATGAGATATCAGCTGTAGCACATGGCTCGACAATATTCCGTTTGTGAAACCATGCTGATTGAGAAGCCACTGTTCTTGGACCTCTTTACTAGACTGTGGTTTGCTTCTAGGAGAACTAATGTTACTACCCGGAGTTGCCTTTCTGTTACTGT